TTGTCCGATTCAACGACGATTCCGCGAGAACAGCTTCAGAAAAATGAACGTGCGATCTGCTCGTATGATTTTCTAACTCATTTGGTCGCTGTTGTCTTAAATAGTCATGAGGGGGAAAACAAATATGCTGGTTCACCAGGCATGTGATGAAAGTGTAAATCATTTGCAAAACACCACTGATTAAATCTGGGACACACACACAGTGACATGAGCTTTTAATGCAACAGAACGAGAGGAGAGGAGAAAAAGAATGATCAAAGGTCCACTTAGCTTGTGCCTGAATATTTACCAAGTGGCTCGCTAATTGCAGTCTGGGGGAATTCGACTGTGATTACAATTAGCAAACGTCCAGACCGGCTCGGGAAAACACTGGCAGATGTTGGTGCCGCGCCGACTGGCCCGGTGGCGGCTGTTTACTTTGCACGAGTGGCGCTGAAGCCCCGGCGAGCCACGGAGTGGAGCTCCGTGGAGTGAATGCGCCTGAGGGCAGACGTTATGAATCACGGCAGCCGCGGTCCGCTCAATGGACGTTGACAAAAAAGAAGGAGCTCTAACTCGGTAAAAAACAAGAGGAAGAAGAGCAAGAAGAACCACGAGACCGCGGAGGCTCGTGAAACATCTCACAAGGCCTCGCAGGTCTCAGCGCTGAGGAGCTTTCAGCTATATTTGGAGACAACAGTGAAATGCAGTGCAAGTTGCACAAGGTATCGTAAACCAAATACAACGGGAATACTACGGAATACTCCGCCGGGCCGTGAGTCAGCCTGCGGCCCGTTGTCATGTGGTGAAACTCCTTTCAGCGCGACGTGCTCCCCGCTGTCGCCCGCACCACAAAGACAGTTGGCCACAATTAGTCACGGCTTTTATCCGAATTCCTCGTATCCCTTTGAGTGCGCACTGTGTTCCTCAGCGGAACGGGTTCCTTACTTCACCGGGAGCGCCTGCATTTACTCCGTCGTGCCTTTTTTAATCCGTAGCGATTGTCAGCATTGTCAAAACTGTGAAAAGAACTGACCCGTGTCCGGTTTGGCACCACCTCCTGTTCAGAAGCCACATTACAGTACAAAGCAGGAGGGGAGTGGGGGGGTGGGGGGGGCACTGACATATGCAATGAATAAATGCTGTTGATTGCTTTGTTTTCTTGGTCGAGATGCATTCCAGACAGCAACACAGGAATAATCCATGTTGGAGTGGAGACGAGTGCTGGGATCTACTGCAGCCGTCATCTCCTCGCTCTCCGCAAAGGCCCCAGACTCCTCTGAGAGAGAACATCCGTTTGACCTCTCAGAAGCCGCTTTGGTTGGTCTTCTGGAAAGCTGGTACAACTCCCTCCTCGGAGGAATCCCGACCATCAGCCGCTATAATGTCAACCGTTCACCATTTCGGTTTAGCGTGTACTTGCCAATTGAGGAACCCCTCGGGTCAAGGCGCTAGCATGGCTTCTTAAATGTACGTATTGTCTGGGTTTTACATCTTTGTTATCAGAATAATACGTTTAAAATGCATCACGTGATCGTTGGAACCACTCCACGCGTATTTTGTTATTTTCCTGACTGTGGATGTGTATTGACAGGATAGTCAGGGCGTCACAAGTGTCAAAGTCTCATCGGCCACGTTAATTGTTCCTTTTAGAGTTCCAGGATGGAGGTGTTGCCCATTCGAATGCCTGTTTTGTGTTCAGCCCCCCGATCTGATAAGAGCCCAGTTGGGAACTTGTGTTCCCAAACAAAATGCCCATCTGCTTGTCATCATCTCCACTGTAAGCAGTCCTGATAGATAACGCCTGGCACACATTTGGGTAAATACACATAGGAACTTCGGTGAAAAAACAGACACCATCTCTCCTGAGGAATAAGCGACCAACAGAAACCAACCGGAGGAGTACAAATAAATAAATTAAAAGTCCAAACGAGTGGAGTGGTGGAGCGGTAAGCCTAAAAAGTGGCTGAAAAGCGACGCCTGAGTGTTTGAGCCATCAACTGGAGGGACAGCTGCTCGACAAACAGAGTGACAGGAGGCTCTTCCTCCTCAAAAGGCTGGATAAATATCCCCAGCGGTGCTAATCAATCACCACGGCCCAGTCACAGCAGGTCAGAGGTGGGCTCGGCTGATTGGCGCAATACAAAAGGGAAGAGGAAGTGTAAGACGTTGTTTTAAGGGGGGGCCGGGGTCTGGTGACATGTCATCGCGTGGAGGAATGGACTAACCTACTTACATTAGTCACTTCTTAGTGCGGTTAGATATGCGGCCGTAGATGATGCCGCCGGAGTTAAACAGAGCAACGTGTGTGTGTTTGGCACAAGAACAGATTATTCTGGTCCGCCTGCACTGAGGAATAAAGTGCGTAGGAACCATCGAAAGAGATACAAAAGCGAGAGGAAATCGCAGGACTTTGTGTCCTTTTGTATGAAATTTTAAAAAAAGAAGTCATTTATCCGCTATCTTTTGTTTTCCGTTTGTGAGGATGTGATTCAGCTGCATCAGTCACATTATGTCTGCGTGTTGTTGCATACTTGGTCGTGTTTGTCACCGATGGTACAAAGGCCGGAGGAAGTCGGAGGACTTTGTGAGCATGTAGGAGAAGGAAAGGATGTCTCAGTTATAGAAGTTGAAGCTTCGTGTATTAAAACAGGATTACAACGCTCAAGTTGTTATTTAATAATAAAAGAAGTTAGAGGAAGTGTTTTCAAACCTAAGACCACCATGTACAGGCTTGATCCAGGATGGTTGAAAGATGGACATCAGGCCTGCTCTTCTCAAACCCCCCCCAGACCTCCCCCACTTCATCGAGGCCCCCAGGAGCTTCCTGAATGACTTCATTGACACCCCGGCGAGCCATTAATCTTCATTTGTCCCATTATTTCCTACCATTGGTATGGTAATGCCCCCAAAGGGGGGCCATAACGGCCGGCAGGGTGCTGAACGTGGGGTGCCTATCGCTCCATTTGGCAGCTTCCGTTCCCGATGCAACGTACTGGTTCCTCATTCAAATGACTCAAACCTTGCTGAACCACGTGCACACACACACACACTGGTGGATCGAGTCTCCAAAATATATTTGGACTTTTAGCTTTAAACATTTTTTTCTTATTCTTGAACTGTTTTTTTTTAAAAACTTTTTTCAAATAGTTTTTTCAAAACATTTTTTGACCTAATCTTTTTTACCTATTCTTTCATTTTTTTGACATAACAAATTATTTTTTTTTCAAAATATTTTTGATCTATTTTTTAAAACTTTTTTTTGTTATGACATAACATATTTGACATTTTTTCATTCATTTTTACTTAGCTCATTGTTTGAGCGAATTTTTTTTGTCTTTTTTCATGAGATTTAATAAGACCTGACATACGTTTTTTTTTTCAATTAGATTTTTTACATCCAATATTTTCTAAAATACTTTTTCAACCTGTATTTTAAACACAAACAGTTGAACACTGGAAAAGCTGCTTGAATTTTGCTTTCCAAATCTATAAAATATAATCAACGAGTAGAAGGTTGAAAACAGATAACACACACAGATAATTCCCAGAATTGCTTTTTAAGTTAAATTGTTTGTAAAACATGAATTTAAAAAATCTCTTATCGGTTTTAGAGCCTCTATTATTATTATTCCCAATATATATCATTATCTTTCAGTGATAGATGGCATTTCAGAATGAAACGCAGCGCTACAGCATCAGAGATGTAAAAGTATAAAGTAAAGTTGCAGAGGAAGAAAGGCAGAGACGTGCGGCTGCCCCAGAAGGAGCTTAAGAAGCACCGCGTCTTTCCTGTGTCCTTTTTGACAAGGCACAGACTCCCCCTTTGATCAGCACTCAGGAAATTTCATTAGGACGGAGATGGGTGGATAAGAGACCAAAGAAAGCTTTTGTGGATGGGAAGAGGAAGAGATGGAGATAAAAGGGTAGAAAATAGAAAATGGAGGGGCGGTGTGTCTTGGAAGGGAGAAGAGAGAAAGGAGAGATGAATGTTTACCCCCCTATTTTAAATCAAATATCAGAGGTAAACTTTGGTTGAGCTCAGCTAAAAGCTATAGCTAGAAGCCAAATATGAGATGCGACATGGCAATCAAAGCAGGGTTTTAGCTAAATGCTAACATCAGAATCAGGGCCTGTGCTTACGGAATGTTACAATGAACTTTAACGAACCGTAAACACTCTGTGAAAAGGTGAAAGCTTCAAAACAAACAGCGCCACACCAACACTGGGGTTGCGACGTGTCAATCACCAAAGCTTGCTTATAATTAGCATCCATTTGCCTCTAAATGGACCATATTTACCAAATAAAAGTCCTGCTGTACTGAATGAGACTGAAATGTTTACTGAGGTAATAGATAAAATCATTTTATCATGGACTTCTATAAAACCAGAGTTGCCCCCTGGTGGCCGTCAGGGAGAATGCATCATTAAGATGCTTCTGCAATGGCTTCCCTTATCTGACACAGGACCTCGTCGTTTGGTCAAAACATTAACATGTTTACAATGACATGGCAAACATCCTGATGCTAACCCGAACTCACAGCAAGTTAGCTTCATCCAGAATAAAATGTCCACCTCATGGTTGCAGAGGAGGAAAAGTCAGTGGATTCCAAAAGCCATTAGGATGAAAAGATGAAGTTTTCCACTGTTGTGTCCTGGGTTAGGAACATCTGTTTTTCCTTCTTCTTTTCGGTCATGACGGGGCACCATTTGACAGGGACAGAAGTTTTTTGGCTCCACTTCGACAAACTAAAACTAAACAACTAAATGAACATGAGCTCCAAAATAATTCTAAATACCGCAGCCAAAAAAAGAAAAATTGTACCAACCAACAACCAAAATGTCAAGGAAGACAAACCGGAGCGGGCGACCTTTGACCTCATCAATCACGTACAACAGAGGAAGTGAGGCTCAGGAGGTGACAAGGGAGACAAACACACAACATCTCCCCGACCGTATCAATCAGGGGACCAAAGAGGAGGAAGGGGAGTTAAAAAGGCAGCGCGCCGGCGTCTGTTTACCTTATCGATCATGTCGGGCCGGTTGGTGGCAGCCAGCACGGTGACGTCCCGGAGCTGCTCGATGCCGTCCATCTCTGTCAGGAGCTGAGCCAGGACCCGGTCGCCCACACCGCCGGAGCCCGAGGCGCTGGAGGGGTGAATGAGAACGCCAGACGGATGAGTGGACGGGATGGAAAGAGAGAGAGAGAGAGGAAGAGACAATGAGGTTGACGTGTGGACAGACGGGTTGATGATGGAGAGGGAAAGGAACGTATGTAGGGTGGTCAAGAACGAGCGAAAAGGGATATTATGGATGATGCAAACGGAGGAGGGAAAGCCAGCGGAGGAACGGTTTAGCAGCGGGAGTCGGATAACCACAGGCCTCACGCTTCACTCATTCCCCAGTGCCTTGCTGTACTCAAGTAATGAAAAATAGTCGCCAGTTCTTGAACCCTTGCAGGGAACGTCTGAATAGCTTCACTGACACTCTGATGGCGGCTTCTTTCGTTTGCACAATTCGTCTTCGGCAAAGAAAAGGCTTTGGCAGCGGAGAGCGAGCCTTCGTGCCAATGACGTCCCACCGAGCTGCAGCTGAGACCACGTCATCCCCCCCGAATGAAGCGGCCCTCCTTGAGACAAAGTTCACAAGTATGTCCCCTTGTTTGGACTTGTAAAATGTAGCGCCTCCGCGCCGCCAAATTCAGCTGGAAACGGCGGGGTTCATCCCGCCGGGGAGCCCGCGAGATCAGCGCGAGCAATGCGTCGTATTCAAAGTCATACAACGTTTCTCATTCTCGCACCATAAAATAAGTAAATTAAATCTCAACATCGTGGATCACCCGGCGCACATCCGTTACCCCAGTTAACAAGCAGGCGATGGCTTCGGTTTCGTTGTCATGGCAATGGCATCGTAAGGCAGTGGTGGTGCGTTTTAGGTGGCTGGTGGTTTGAAGTCTGTATTCGGTCGAATAAAAAGAAAATGCTCCTGAAATTGAGTGATATTTGAATGAACATTAAACATTTGGCTTAAGTGTAAAGTAGCGTACGCTCGACGCTCCGGTGAGGAAGTGAACTACAGTTTCGTGGTAATGAGAAACTGCGAGCAGACGGAGAACACAAACGAAAAATATGACCTGCAGCTTTGTCCTTTAAAAACTCTCAAGGTTTTTCGTCAGTCCATTCCGGGGAGAGGGGGGTGGGGGGGTTCTTTTCCATGACGCCGTGCAGACAGCCACCCTTGTCTCTCACACACACACACACACACAAACAGACACACACAGTCTGTGTTAGGGCCGGCGGAAGTGCCAGACGTCGTTAGTCGAGAGAAGGCTGCAGAGGAACACAAAGGAGCTCTGTCACTGAGATATGAAGGGAGAGACAGGGGGGAGTTGTGAGGAGAAGAGGAAGGAGGACAGCGAGCGATGAAGAGAGAGACGGGGGGGGGGGTCACGAAGGAGAGGTGGTGAGATGGGGGAGAGAAAGTGAGCGATAGAAGGAAGGACGAAGGAACAGAGAAAAGGGAGGAAGGAGGCAGAGAGAAAGGGGGCGAGGAAAAGAAAGAAAAGGCTTTCGACTTTCCTTGAAGCATCTGAATGTCTTTTATTCATCGTTCTCTTCTTTCAAATCCATCGGGCCTTCAGTTCTCACAATTATCTTTATCTTTTGTTTGGTTTTCTTTCAGGAATGCAGCTGGTTTTAAATTCAATTCAGTCAATCATGGAGGTTTTTATTTTGTCTTTTTTCCTCTGTCTGACATCCACTGCCCCCCCCCAGCCCCCTCCCCCCCCTCTCTTCCTGTCTTCCTTCTGTCTTTTTCATTTTATTCCACCAGTTTAGACTCGTGGCAGGTAGGCTGACAGATTTACAGGTGCTTCTCATCTCCTGCCTCCAGAGAGGAAACACACACACACACACACACACACACACACACACACACACACACACACACACACACACACACAAACGTACACACTGCTACGTTCTGGTTGTGTCAAAAGTTGAGGTCCTGCTGGCCTGCGTTAGCCACTTCATTGATTAAACATGGCAGGAAGTGAAGATCAATAAATAACGATTCCGAATCCGAGCTCAGCGCGTTATTTATTTCCCGCTAAGTGGCGAGTGGCCAGGAGGGGCGGGTCCAGCCACATGTCAATCAAGCCGCACGGAAGATCAGAGTGGAACTGCAAAAAATGGAGTGAAGAAGACGTGTCGCAATGGAGTGGAAGAAAAAGTTGACATGAAGTTTGTTTCAAGAGCAGATCTTGTTTTTCTGTCTCAATCTGGTTTGATTCTGGAAAAAACATTTCTTTATATGTAAAAAGTACATAATAGTAGATACCTGTACTTTAATAAATACTACTAAGAAAAGTCCACCTTTTGCTGAACTGCTTTCAGGAGCAGAAGAACTTTGAGATGTCAGAAGAAGTGGGCGTCGTGTGACGAGGACACCGTGGGGAGCGGCGACGGGTTTTTTTTCAAACGACGGCGCCTTACCTTCCCCTCTCGCTGGCCAGGGCGTCGATCTCGTCGAAGAAGACGATGGAGGGAGCGACGGCCCTCGCCTTCCGGAACACCTGCGAGCGGAGCGGCGAGAGAGGAAAACGACTGACGAGTCAGCGTGCGTCGCTTCACACAGAAGCAGAACCGTCTTGGTGACGGCCGGTAGACCTACTTACCTCTCGCACGGCCCGTTCAGACTCCCCGACATACTTGCTCAGTAATTCTGGACCCTAAGAAAAATAAAAAGTTGGTCTGTAATTTGAGTTGGACTTGTTAATAACCACCCCTACGTTTTGTTTCATTGTATGTAGAGATGTGTGTGTCTCTTTGTGTGCGCGCGTCAGTGTGGGTCTGTGTTTGCCCGAGGCGATGCCGGCTGTAACCGTGGTTACGTCGTGTGAAGCGTCACCAGGTGGCAGACGGGTTTAAAAGCTGGAGGGGGGGGGGTAAACTTTGGCACGGACCAGAGGAGCAGCTGGTGGAGATCAGAAAGAGGAACGCGGGGATCACGCAGCGGGAGAATGTCACGCAGGGCAGCGCGGGTTTGTGTTTCTACGCCGTGGGTCAGCTGGGTGAACGCCATTCATCGTCATTTAACTGCTGCAGCTCTTTGCTTAGAACTATCACGGCTACTGCAGTTAATCGTTTGCAGTCCCAGCATGTGCCAGAGTGAAGACGCCAACAGGGTGGTTAGTAGATGGTCACAGCCACTGAGGTGGGAGATACAACCGGCGCCGCTAATCTTACTTTTACCGCTACCGGCAGCCTGAACCTCCCTCCCCCTCCCCCATTCCTCCCTCCTTTAAAAGCTCCACTCAGCCCCCCCGAGAAGAACTTCCTCCCCTGCAATCCGCCCCTTTCGACACCTCTGGGCCGACGGGGGAGACGACACTTGACTCCCGGCCCCTTTGTCTGCCGCAGTAAGTGTGGAGGCTGACTCGTTAATCCCGGGTTCCTCTCTCTCTCTCTCCGGGGCAGAAGCCCTCGGCTGGACACGCTGAGTTTAAAGCCATTGACAGATACAGATACGAGCCGCGCCACAGTGTGTGTGTGTGTGTGTGCATGTGTGTGTGTGTGTGTGTGTGTGTGTGTGTGTGTGGCTGCAGTGGGAGGAAACTGAAATTGACAAGATGATAATAGGGCTTTTTCACCCAGAGGAAACAGGCTGAGCCTTAAAGTATCCACATTTAAATCTGGATAACGTATCTATGTCAAAGCAACCGCTGCACTGGAAAAACCTGATACTGTTATTGCAGACGCTGAAGAGCAGCGGCAGGATGTTTTTTTTTTTTTAACCTCTTCGAAACTTGCAAGCCCTTCTTTTTCGTCGTCTTCGCGGCAAACACAAATGCACGAAAATGCAAAATGCACAAAAGCGCTGCTGCCTTTTATCCCCCGACGCGCCACCAAAACCCCGCTTGAGAGGTTCTGTCGAAGCGTCCCGTGTCGCACGGCAACCGCTCTGGGAGGGTTTACCGATCAAAAATTCAACAAGCTGATCAATCAATCCCTGTCACCCGGGCTGGAGGATGGGGTGACGAATGAGGGGGGGGGGGGGGAGACAAACACGGGGTCAGAGGTCAGAAGAGGGAAGCTTTGTGCAGAGGAAGTTGGGCAGTCGAGGCCGCCCCCCCCCCCGGGTCATCAGGGAAACATCTCCACCAGACACTCGTTCGTTGCTCTGTATCAAATATGTGGAAGTGTGAAAACCAACGTGACCCAGATGAAAAGGTGCACGAAATGATGCGTATGTATTAAAAGTGCTGTATTTAGAGTGATGCTGTCACAGTGTGGAACGAGACAAATTCTTTAAACTTAAAGCTCCTTAAAAAGGTTCTGTCATGAGATGCAGAACATCTGGCTGTCACACATCTAATGGGTCTAATGGGACTTGTGTGAAAGTGGGAAACAGAACCGCCACAGGACAATCGCGCAGTGAAGAAACGAAAGGGAAACTGTTCGCTAGGGGCACCGTTTTATCATCTGCATCTAGAATTACGACTGTGATGAAGACTCACCTTGACAGCCAGGAAGTTGAGCCCACTCTCATTAGCCAGGGCCTTGGCTATCATGGTCTTGGAGCAGCCCGGGGGCCCGTACAGCAGGACTCCTCTAGGCGGCTGGATCCCCATGCGGGTGAAGGCCTCGGGGTGCCTCAGGGGCCACTCCACGGCCTGCTTCAGTTTCAGCTTCACCTCGTCCATCCCGCCCACATCCGACCAGCGGACCTGGAGGGACGGAGCGGCGTAAAGTCGGGATGCTCGGAAGGCAGATTCTGCCGCCTCTTTTATTTACGTTGCAGAGTTGGTGTGAGATACGTGTCGCCTGCAGACGATGGAATGATCCTCCTTCGCTCCCAAAGACAAATCAGGATCTCACTAAGCTGTGTGATTAACGTAACATCGAAAGGTCCATGAACGCAACATGAGAGTTTGGTCTTCAGTGTTTACACGCAACTAAGCAAACTGACAAAACTGAGAAGGAGGAGAACAATAATGTTAAAATAATGATTAAAAGAGGATGTGGTCGTCCAAGTAGGAAGTAGTAGAACGAGGCGTAGTATTTGGAGCCAAAATGAATCATTTGATTGCATCCGGTTCAGTGGCATTAATCCATCACACAGTCAACATGCTAATAGACAGAATGCATCCGGTTAAGCAAAGTGGAAGTGGAGAAGCAGGAGAGGCCCGGTGCTGATAGATGATTAACACCTACTGGCTCCAGGATCAAACCGCTGTGATCGCAAACAATGAATGCAACGGACCGATCACACCGTGAGTACACGATGAGGTCACCCTGCGTTCTCAAGTCGCAGAGTCTCCCCCGGCGGGTGACGGGGTCGGGGTGGCAGGCGGGGGAGGAAGGCTTGTGAAATATAAAAGCATATTTGGATGGAGGTGGGGGAACCGAGGGATCTGGACGGAGCAAAGAACTATAGACGGGAGTCCGCCAACAGCCGGATGAGGGATGGAGGAAGGGAGGGAGGGAGGGAAGAAAGGAGGGAGGGAGGCAAAGGGTCCAGCGGTGAACAACCGGAGGAGATGAAGCAGATAAGAAGAGAAGCCCTCATCCAAAAGCATCTCAGACCTCTATCTCACCCTTCCTGTCTCGCTTTTCTTCATTACCAATCCCTCATCCCTCCCTTCTCCCGCCTCTCTCTGCACCCTCCCTCCCTCTCTTTTTTTTTTTATCTACCTTCACTCCCTCCCTTTCCCGCTATCTTGAGCCGTCTTATCTTGCTCACTTCCTCTCCTTTGTGACCGAGCTCGGCTCTCTGAGTACATTTACACGGCCAGAAGAAACCTGGTTACTGGGGGGAAATCGGGTTATGCAGGAAGTGCAATGTGTTTACATGCACTGTAGTAGCTTGGTAATCAGATACCCCCCCCCCCCATCTGTGACCTTGCCTTGAGCAATGCCTTATTTTAAAAGGAGCACTCAGGTTTTTTGTTTTTTTTCTTTTTTAAGTTCACTTCTCATTGAGAGCGATGTCATCATCGGTGGGAGGAGTCAATACGTTGAGTGCAGTAAAACAGGAGGGTTTGCAAAAAAAATGCTATTCAGTTGCCTTTTGGGAATTGTACCAGTTTCATGTTTCTTGGACATCGAGTATTCAAACCATTCAATCATCTATTCGGCTCTGGAGGTGAAAATGTTCTTATTTGGTTCCAGCTTCACATAAAGTGTCTCTCTTCCTTCCTCTCCTCCGGATCCGGCTCATCTTTACTGCACCGCCGTGGTTCTTTTTCTCTCACCTGACTCTTACAATCACGCCATCTCTCCCTCCCTTAAATACTGCAGCCTCTCTCTCTCTCTCTCCCCCTCTCTCTCTCTCTCCCCCTCTCTCCCTCCCTCCCCCAGAGGTAACACATCCCAGGCCACCGGCGCCGTCTCCGGGGAACGACGGCACCTAATGGAAACCTGGCGTCTGGCCACATACTGTAAATACCAAACAATTTATGGACAGCGCCGAGCGAGAGAGAGAGACAGGGAGGGAGCGAGAGCGGAAGGGACGGATGCCGGGGAAGAGGAGAAAAGGGAGCGGGAGAAGAGGAGTGGTGCGGAGATGTGGCGATAGGCCGGAAGCCGGCCGGCGAACCAGAACGCTCGTTTGTTTTTTTTAAAAAAAGGTAAAGTGCGGCCAAATGAGCGGCCCCACGCAGGGAGAAGTGAAGGAAACGGAAGAAACGCGTTTAATGGGTAGCGGTCAATCAATGGCGGTAATCTGATTGGCAAACGTTTAAAACAAACAACCCGTGCTCTGTGGTACTTTGGGAGGGCTCCGATTGTTCCTTCGATCGGGGCCCAAAATCTCTCTCAATGCAACTGCATCACAAACAAGTGAACTAAATGGTTTCTGCATAAGCTCACGGTCTGTTTCTAGACAATTTGCCCAAACAGCACAGCGAGATGACTGCTAATGTACAAAGTGGCTTTATTATAACATAAAATCCTGAGACCTGCGAAATCCCCCCACCCCCACCCCCCCTTTCCAGCAAGGAAGCAGATGTGCAGCGCGACGCCGTGGAGTCTCATCTCCACCCGTGTTGTTGCTTTGAGGAGTCATTGTAATAAACAACAATATAAATGAACATTAATTGAAAGGCGGCTTTTGTCACGAATGAAGCGTCTGTGGAATTAGAAGGCAACGTTTTGACTCACACCTCGCTGTACTCGCCCCCCCCCCCTCCTTTCCTTTGGTACAAGACCCAGTTATTATCTTTTACTGTTGTTTTCTGAACTTTACAAGGGGCCTCTCAGGCTCTGGCCCTTTGATGGGGTTGAAAAAGGAGGGTGTGGGGGACTTCTCAAGAACTCAAGGCGAGACGTGGAGTACGTTTTAAAAGCAGGAATAAACGGGCTTGTTAAGCGGCGGCCAAATGAAAATATTAAAGCCAGACTGCACGATTATTTAAAAAGAAAACAATAACGGGAATGACGTCGGAAGGGGGGGGGGAGAGTGTCTTGTCACAAACGAAACAAAAGATCAAACGCTGAACTTTATAATTCATACGACACGGATCGAGAGGCGTGATCTGCGCAGCTCGACCCTCCACACGCGTGATGTGAGGAGCTTTCTGAAGGCGTCCGGCACCGTTGGAAGTTTGTTATGTAATATGGATTAGAAACAAATGTTTGCTCTGCGTCCGGCCTTTCAGCTGAGCTGGGGATGGGAGGAGGAAAAAAAAGCCCCCACCCCGCTCCGCAAACGCAAACTCTCTCCTCGCTCTCGTTTCCAGGAACGTCTGTGGCGGAGCTCAGTGCAGAGCGCCGCACAGGCAAGAGGGCATTTCTTCTCCTCCTCCATCCGTTTTCTGTGTGTGTGGTGGGGAGGATGGGGGGGGGGGGCCCTGGGAGGAACCCTCCCCAACCCCATCTGCTTCCAATTACCCGTGCAGGATGATGGTAGGCCTCTTCCTGTCCCGTATGTCTTTGCCATGCAAACTTCAAAAACATCCCTGGAGTCTCACCACTGTCCTCTCATCCCTCCCTCCTTTTCTCCCTCCCTCCCTCCCTCCCTCTCCCCCTGCCATCCGCAGAGAGCCTCATCTTCATTGCAGTGGAGAGTAAAATAGTCCACAGAGTCACTTCCTGGGCCTGACCGCTCACTCAGCTGCCGTTTTTGATGAAGCCGCCGGATATTTGTTTTGAGATCAGATTTGGGCATTTTGTCGCCTAGTAGATGAACCTGGTTCTAAACCCCACGCAGCCCACGGCTTCAGGTCCAATTCGAATTTAAGCCTCGAGGCTAAACTGTAGAACTCCGTCCCATTGGACTTAAGATCTGTGGACATTCTTTCGATAGCAGCCGCAGACCCACCTGTACGCACTATTCATTAGTCATTTATGCTTTAAAGTCCTATTGTGTCACAGCTGCTTCATTTGTCTTTTATTGCGATGCACTTTGTGAACGCCGCTAATAGACTTGAATTACTTCTGACCAGCTGCATTTCTTTAATCCCTCCCGGGCCAAATAAACAGAAGACACAGACACACTTTGCAAAGATTTAAGAACCACGTCTGTCAGGCCTGGAAGGCAAACGTTTTCCACCTTTTAGTCTTTTCTTTTATTCCCGGGCGGCAATTACTGCACACAGCCCCTTTATTTCCACACCGACAGAAACCGGAACCGTCTCACGAACCTTTACCTTGTTTCGACCAGCGGAACCGGGAACGGATTTAGTTCCTTCTACGGAGAGATTACCCATAAACCACAGGGGCAGAGTTTGCAGTGTGCATGTAATCGGTCGAATAAAACAGCCGAAGAACCCGCGTCCGCTGTAACTAGTGTAACCATATTTGGATAAATGAAACACATGATGGGGGGGGGGGGAGTGGGGGGGCGTACCTTTGGGACGTCCACAGCGACCTCCCTCATGGCGCTGGGCTTCACCACAGACATGGCCCACTGGAGGTCCTGCAAAGCGACGGTCACCGTCCCGCTCAGCTGCCGGTCCGACGCTTGGGGGGAGTTTCCCAGCGCTCGCCTCAGTGCACGCATGCCTGCAGAGAGACGGTTCAAAAGGCTCAGCCCGAATCCACCAGAGAGAAACCAGCATAATGGGACGGCTTAAAGCGAATCATTGGAGGAATTTAATGCATGTGAGTAGAGTTGAAAAGCAAAGGAAAAAAAAAAAGAAAAAGCGATGCTCGTGTTGTTGTGTCTTTATGGTTTTCCATTCAAAACCCACAAGAAACCGCTCAAAACATTCAGGCTCGTACACGCCGTGATGATACATGTGAATCTCAAAATGAACACTAATTCCCCTTTTGACCGCCGAAATAATTGGTCCTGCATTATTGGGGATATAAACTTTTTTTTTTTTAAAAGGCTGACGGAAAGGGAAGCGTAATTGAAGCGCTTAAGGTTTGAATACCCTCTGAACAAAAAAACAACCGCAGCAAAACAAACTGCGATGAGCCTTTGTTTGGTCTCGTTGAAGAGGACACGGCGGATTGATGGCAAAAGAAAAGATCTCTGCACAGACGGCTCTGCGAAATGCCGCGGCGATGAGTGAGCACGCACATGCAACACATACTTGTGAGGCGCAGGTCACAGAAAGGAGCGGATTCATCCACAGGAGGGGGGCCGCGAAAGGCCGCTAGGTGCGTTTCTATCCATGTTCTTCATTGACACCGTTCATTTCATCCGAGACGTCGTGGAGGGGAAACGGACCGGTAAGTAACTTTGCCCCCAAGGACATTCTTATGTGAGGAACAGAGAACCACGGAGACGACTCCATTAGATCGTTTACAAACCGACTTGGATGAGCACCGAGGGCATCATTTCCTTCTATAAGCAGGGATGGTCAAGTGCCTTGCTCAAAGGCAGCTATGTAAGCATCTCTTGCGCCTCCGCCCTTTGAGTCAGTCATCAGATGTAAACCAACGCCCCCCCCCCACACGCTTCTGTTTCAGCAGCCACTTGAGTGGTTTTCTCTGTCAGCGAGGAAATGAGCGTTGATTGAGGGCCTTTTTTCTCTCACGGCGCTCCTCCTCCCGTTGCTTTTTGTTGTGCGCACACTGTGACATTCCCCAGATTCTCCAGAACCAAAACGCCTGAAACACCGCGCCATCTTTTGTGTCTTTTTCTGCTTTTCATTTTACAGAGAAATGGCCGCCGCGCCTGCTGGTGGCGCTATCGCGTGCACTCGGGCGGGGGGGCAGACGAGAGAGGATTTTAGCTCAGACTGCAGACTGGTTTATATTATAGGAGAGAGGAGGAGGAGGAGGAGGAGTAATGCAGGCCGGCCCTCCGTGAGCACGCCGAGTCGGGGTCAGCGCGTTCCTCCGTCCCGGGCCGCGTGCCGTCCGATGTCCCTTTCTCTAGCTCTCTCCACCCCCCCCACGCCCCCCCGACGCCTCCTCCATCTCGCTCCCCAACCCCACCCACACACCCTACCATTAGCCACCTGCACTGTGGAGGTGGAGGGAAAGAGGAGGATGGGAGAGAACCTGAGAGACGGAGGTGTGACGATCCTGATGGACAAAACTTCAACATGCATTATTAAGCTGTTATACATTAATAATAAAAGGTTTTATATTGGGACATCTTGCCTAAAGGGTCACGTAGTATAGCGCGCAGACACACACACACATTTTTCATTTTGTGAAATTTTAAGATGAATTTCTTTGAGTTTAAGTTTTCCATTTTTACATCCAACTCAATCCAATTTAGCAACGAGGTTCTGCCCGGTTGATGTATGACGCTTTATTAGATTGAAACCTTTCTTCGTAATAGATTCGGAGGCCCTGCAGACTCAACACTTCTTTGAATGTTTTATTTATCGCCCTGCACCTTAAAGTGAGACGGTAATTCAAAGCGGTGCGACGTCCGGTTCAAAGGCCCCGTGGACGTTTCAGCGATTGCTTCTCCAGGAATCATCCGTCTTCTACGGGGGAATGAAGCGGCCCGACCAAAGGAGAACCCAAGGTTCAGAAGCCACAGAACTCTGAGTCCAGCGGAAAACTTGATAGCACGATGCGCCTCGGGGGATTCGCTGCTCTTGGCTGACTCCAAGCACACATTTGGTTTAGTTATGAAAACATCCGATGGGAGGAGAAAGAAAAAAAAAAAGAGGCAACACAACAGAATTTAATCTGAACCTCATGTGGACCTCATTCTCCTCCTCCACTCTTGTTTGCACCGCAGAACGCTTCAGAATTGCCCGAGACCTGAAGGGAAATGTTGAGAGTGCACCGGATCAAAGCCCTGAATACAAAACTACATTTGTTTATGACACCCAGAGATGTTTCAACTCGACGTGACACCACAAGCACCTCGAAAACAAGACACCGCCTACGCTCCCGGACGTGGATGCATCCAACACAAGGATTCAACCAGCGTCTAATGATCCATCAATCAACACCTACCAGGGACACATCAGGGCGCCGGCATGTACAGTATGTCCAGCATGTCCACCGTTACTAAGGACAACTCACAGAGTAAATACGCGTATACAAAATAAATAGCGGATACTCTCAAACATTGATGTATTTGACTATAAACCAAACCGAGGCCCCCCCCTCCCCGTAGATATGTATGGCACGGTGCTACGTGCAACCCGCGCGGCTGCGTCATGCGCTTTCATTTGTGCAACTGCGAGGAAACTGCGCGGCAGAGAAAAGGGAAGACGAGGTCGGGAGTTTGAGTACCAGTAGAAGACCTCACAAAGGGAGACGCTCACAGAGCTCCATTGTCAGAGACAGCGGCCCGGGAAGGTGCGTCAGGACGTCTCTCAACAGTGCATTCCACATTGCAATAGGGGAGTCGGTAAGGGGGAGGGGTGGGGTGGGGTGGGGTGGGGTGTGGTGGGGGGGGTCGCTGCAAGATCGATGGCGCGAGCTCTCCCGCGGCAGAGAAATAGTTTGGCCATTGCGGCATCGCCGTGGCCGAGGAAGGTTTTCATTACTCGCCGGGGCTTCCGGAGCGTGCACCTGTATTTACAAGAGCCAACATCTGGTCCCAGAGCCGCAACACCGCAGTAATATGTATACGCACACACACACACACACACGCACACGCACGCACAGCTGTCCCTGGGTGTAGGTGCGTGCTGGGGTTGAGGAGTACAAGCGGCACATTTCCGGATTTTATAAACAGAGGCCTCAAATAAACCTCACGTGCTGATCCGACTGATATTCATGGGACTCGTCCACAAAGTGTCTTTAAAAGGACACGCGAGTCGGGGAGCGAGCTTTATAAGGACACGGGCTGTGAACACTTGGTCCTCCTCCGCGGGATTCACGTCAAACACACAGACCTCTGCGCCACTCTGCCACGCCGCTTCCTGCTGCTCCTCCTCCTCCTCGTCCTGGTGAGCGTTGAGCTGCAGGGGGTTGCAGTGCGTCAGGGGGACCCCCCCCCCTTAGACGCTTAAGACGTAAAGCTCGCTCCGCGCGGGGAGGAAGTGGGACGCCGAGGAGAAAAAGCCTTCAGCCGACAAAGTGCAAAGCTGCATGTTTATTATTCCGTGTAATCAATTGTACTGCCCCCCCCCCCCCCCCCCCTTTTTTGTTTCAGGGGGCTTCCCCTGTTTAGAGAGGCCTGTAAACAGTGTATCCGGATGTGGCACAAACCAAACAAGCACCCTCACACACACGCACACACACGCACGCACACACACAGGCCGTGGAAATGAGTCATCTGCCGGCGGCGGAATCAGTGGGACGCCCCAGAGACGCCTCAGAGACCAGGTGAGACCAGGTGAGGGCTTCCACCACGCACGCAGCACCTGGGGGGGGGGGGGCTTTACCAAGAAGAGAGTAGAACGGGGAACGGGGTCCGTGGAAAGGGGGGGGGCGGCCAGGGGGGGATTCGTGAATCACACAACGTAGCGCACACTACAATTTCAATAAACAAATTTAGGAAAGGTTGCAGCAGACCGCAGGTGGGGTGGGCGGAGGGGACGGGGGGGCTGTACATTTCTCTGCTGTGACTAACACCGTCCAGCAGATCGACTTGATGTGAACGTAAATCCGGCGAGCTGCAAGCCACGTCCCCCCTCAGACACGGAGACGGATGAAGTTCAGAGGGGGGGACGGGAGGGGGGGGGCTCAAGAGATAAACGGCCTCGACTGGTTGACTTGTTAAATCTTTGACAGGATTACTGACTGAAAAGAGAGAAAGATGTAGTTAAAAAAAAGGATTCTCAGACACTGAATCTCCCTAAAAAGCAGCAGAGAGACACACACACCATCTGCCCACCAGAGGTCGCTGTTTAAGGTCAACGTGGGTCCGACCTTTCACTGCGATTCAGCCTGTAGTTGCACTGCCTGGTTTCAATGCTCAAGAAGAAACACAGAAACTCCTCGAACAAAAATTCTGAGCCTTTCAACAGAATCTTTGCTTCTTTCTTGAGACTTTAAAACTCTCATAAGTTACTAGTAACTAGACAAGCAGCGCATAATGAAGGGTCGGAATAAAAGGGAGACAGATCTATGGAAGCTTTGGATGCTTTATTTTATCTATTCAAATAAGTATATTTATATATATATTTTAATTTAATTTTATATATATTATATTTTATATATATTCAACAAAAATGTTTTGGTTCATATTTTAAATGTGTTAATTAAATAGGTAAATATGGATCAATAAATAAACTGAATAAATGAGTCACTGACAACAATCCCCTCCTGAAACACAAAATGAAGAAATATTTCAAATAACTAAATATTCTGGTTTCCTTTAGCAACTTTTTGTTGATTCTTTTAGGGGGAAATTCAATCATTGGACAACGACCTTAATTATAACCAGAAAGACGTCCTTTTTGGTTTTTTTCACCGCCTACAAAGACCAACGTGTTTGGCGTAAACACGATTGTGCCTTGTTAATACTAAGACACATTCTCCAGCTTCTAAAGCCCCTCCCTGTCATTAAAGGATCACGCCGTCCACCCCGGATTCCCTCGGTCAGCGCCCACACGATGTGAAGCGGCTCAGACGGGATCCGAGTGGATCTGCTGTGAGTGCACACGGCATTCCGCTGCGATCGGGCCGCAATTAAGAGCCGATTGTACAAACACATCTGTCGTCAAGAAGTCCTGCGGCTCGGACCGGACAAACAAATCCCCCCCCCCGTCCCCCACCGCCCCCCACCCGAGTAACATCGGGATTTCCATCCACTCCCGAGCACACGCGGAGAAAGCCGAGCCGCCCGGCTGAAGACCTGATTTAGTGTCGCTCTGTTCTATAAGCAGGTTGGCATTGTGCAGTAGGCAGGATGTGACCCCCCCCCACAGCAGCTGTGCAAGGTGGCGGGATCTTGTGCATTGACCCAGAGCGTGTCGCAGCCGCCACTACCCCCCCCCCCCCCCCCCCCCACTCCCGGACCCCATTTGTATTTTTCAGGAAGCGGCTGGGTCGGTGCGTACAGTCCCCCCCGTCTCATTGTTACCTGAGGAAACAACTGCGGTTCCTACGCGATGTGTTTTTGTGCCTCTTCTGCAGCTTCGGTTCCTCTTCAATGAAGGAAAGAACACGTTAAGGGTCATTGTGCGTTTATGTGTTGGCAGCCTCAATAGTCGGACACACACACACACACACACACACATACACACACACACACACACACACACACCGCGTTGTGTGATGACAAGATGCTTTCCTTGCTGTTTACACTAGGATCCAGGTCCAACTCCGATAACATTTCACTTAGGTATCAATTTCATCTCCAGATCGAGGGAGCCGACGGAAACAAATGAAGCGTTAAACCCGCTTGGATTGCGCTCCGCTGGTCAGCGCCTCAGTTTGTTGGCTGATTTGAGCTTCGGAGGCTGTGAAGAGAAGTGAGCGGAGTCAAAACATTTGTTGTGTCCCCTCCGTGGGCGCGAGGAGGTCGGGGGTTTTTCTTCTTCTTCTTCTTGTCGGAGGCCGGTGGCGTCGAGTCCTCTGCGGACGGTAAATCACGCTCGCCGACCGGAGTGCGGCGCCGGCTTCCTCCTCAGCTGGAAATGCAATATGCCACGTAGCGCCTCCCCCCCCCTTCCCTCCCCATGGCGACCTGGGGACCACCCAGGAGGCACGTGGGGTCACGCTCAGGAAGAAACAAACATGCCCGTGCGCACACACACACACACACACACACACACACACACAGACGTTTTGTATATAACCGGCTCTGGCGATGCGAGGAGGGTCGGCCTCTGGCGTCGGGGTGAGGGGGGGGTGGGGGCAGAGGAACTTCACAACAAGTGGTGGTTTCAGTGGTTTCTGAATACCGCGGTAAGTCACAACTTCCTCTTTGGCAAATATCAAAAGGACGGTCGACCCCCTCCCCCCCCCTCCTCCTCCTCCCGCGTTCAAAGGGGCGTGTCGGAAAACATTGCAGAAAATGGTTAAAAACTCATTTAGGAGGAAATAAGCCACCGGGGACCGTGGTTTGGGCAAAGTGGAGCGAGCCGAGGAGGCTCAATAACAAACCGCCGGTTGGTTGAAGCCTCGGGGGAGGGAAGCGGGCTGCTCAAAGTCGACCCGCCATGTTTCAGCAACGAAAAGAAATGCACAACTGGTGCGGTCGGGCTTTTGGCTCCGGTGGAATTTGTACGATGCAAGCTCATGACTTTGTCAAAACAGAAAAGTTTTGCCCGGCTGGCACATTTTTGGAGAGAGAGAGAGTAGAAGAAGAGGGGAGCGAGGTGTGTGAGACGAACGCTGCCGACCAGGTTTTGGTCCCGCGGCCACTTGCCTGCCTCTTTGCAGACCGCCGCCAGGTCGGCTCCGACGTATCCGTGGGCCGCGTCGGCCAGCCGCGTCACCTCCTCGGCGCCGGCGCTGCAGAGCACGGAACTCAGCTGCTTCTGCAGGATGTCTGCACGCTCTGCAGCGCTGGGGACGCCGACCTGCAGGCATAGAGTCCACCGGGACAAACATTAGGGTGGAACCTTTAAAAAGCCCGATGCCACAAACAAACGGAGCACTTCAGGCTCTTTTGCAGAGACGTTTCCAGCAGTGTAAAAAAAAAAGATATGTGACAAACATATGACAGCGTGTGCTTGAACGCACCTCCAGCTCCTTGTCGAAGCGGCCCGGTCTGCGGAGGGCGGGGTCCAGGGCGTGAGGCCGGTTTGTGGCCCCCAGAACCAACAGCTGACCAGAGTGACCCTCCTGGAGGGAAGGACGAAGGAAAAGCAGCTCAGATCAGATCAGTTAGACAATATGCTCGCAAACCTTTTACACAAGCTTTGATCAATAGCTGCTTTGGCGACTCCTCGGCTCTGATTGGTCCGTCTTTTGTACACAGAACCAAAAGGGGGCACGTGAAGCTCATTTATTGTCACACATTAGCACTGCCGCCGGGGTTTAGGGAGCGTCGGAGCAAACGCGAACGTATTCTGATCAACGAGATGCTGCTGACGTGTATGCTCAGATTTCACTGGTGCTCACGTTGCTCCAGGCAACGCAGTAAAGGGTCAAATCTCTTCAGTAAAGGTCACAGGGGTGACTGTGAGGCAGCTTTACAACGCCATCGAACGTGATGAAATAACAGATGATGGATGCGGACTGGTCCATTCGGAACTACATCCGAGATGTACAACAGGAGCAAAGTGAACCAGCCTTGTGTTCCACTTCGTGAACCAGAGACTCTACATCCATTCTGGTTTTCACGAGAGAGAATATTTGATGCTAAAGAGTTTTCCTCCAGGTGGTCTGCCTGCAAGACGAGATTTCTCTTTTTCCACCTTTAAAATACCGCAGGGAGGATCGAAACACGAATAAATTACAGCGCAAGCAAGAATCCGGAGGAGCAGGAAGCGCCCCCCCCACCCCGCACCCACCGACCAATCAGAGGCGGTGACCTTGGATCTGGTCGGGAACAGGAGCGGGGAGGGCGTCGGTGCATCCGTGTAACATCACCGGGCCGAAGGAAGGCGCTCGGGGAGATGAACTTTGCTGATACAATTGCGCCAAATCGGCAGGTCGAGGCAACCTCTGGTGATTCGTTCTCCAGGCTCCCGCAGTGCGTGCGTGTGCGTGTGTGTGTGTGCGCGCGTTGTGTGTGGACGGGGGTCGTCTTTGTTTCTCATCAGGCACCGACGGAGCGCTCGGAGGACAAACGGCACCCCCGAGACGAGTGCGTGCGTGCGGCGCTGAGGACGTCCCGCTGCAGGCTGCGTTGCTGTAGGGGAGGGTGGATCTAACCCTCCTGGTGCGGTTGAAAAGGTGAAAAAAAAAAAAAAAGGGCACTCACTGAACCGATGCCGTCCATCAGAGTCAGGAGGGAAGCTACGACTCGTTTCTCCACCTCGTTCTGCGCTCCCTCTCGCTTCGGGCACAAAGCATCCAGCTCATCGATGAAGATTATAGCAGGTGGTCTGCAAACGAAAAGAAAATGTTATGACAAAGTGATGTTTATGTAATGGGACAAACTTTCACTATTCATTAATCTATTAAAAGTGCTTTGTGTTAGAAGCCGTTGACACTTATTACACTGACGTGGATTCTTTGAAAAAAAATACTAAATAGGACGGTGAAAAAACATCCTGCAACGTGCAGGAACAGGAAACGATCGTGGCGACGACGTAAATCTAATCAGCCGTTTTACCTCTGAGACGCTTCAGTGAATATCTGCCTCAGCCTCGCTTCAGATTCACCGTAAAATCTATAAAAACAAAAGCAGATTTAAGGGAATTGAACTACGCCTTCAGATGACACGCAGTGTTCATCATTATTGGGTCGTGAATCCTCCTCATGCAGGGAGCTTTGGAGCAATATGGCCGTACTTGCTCACGATCTCTGCGCCGTTGATCACCGTCATGTGAGCTCCGACCTCGTTGGCTATGGCTCGCCCAATCATGGTCTTTCCGGTGCCGGGGGGTCCGTACAGGAGCACGCCTCGGGGCGGTGGGATCCCTGCACGGAATAAAAACATAAATCAGCTTGCACTCGCATCTTAACGATAAATGAAGGTCCCCGCTGACGGTGCCACCTACCGTAGGTGGAGAACAGCTCGGGGTGCTTCAGAGGCAGCTCAATGGTCTCCCTGATGACGTCCAACTGGCCGCTGAGCCCACCGATCATGCTGTAGGTGACCTTTGACCTTCCAGCCTGCGCGTCCGGGTCCTCCTGCGCCGCTCTGCTTCCCACGCGGACTTTGGTGGAGCGAGACAGGCAGTAGAAGGTTTCTGAGCTCAGTGCACAGCCAGGGGGCGCTGCGGGGATTAGCTCGGCCTGCTCAGGGCCAAGCGAGCCCTCCGGGCCGACGGCCGCCTCCTCCGCCGACGCCGCCGCGGGAGGACTCTGGGAGGACGGCGTGCAGAGAGCAAAGGGGGAGGAGACAGAGGCCGGGTGAGCCGGTCGGCGCGGGGTGCTGGCGGCGCGGCCGGGCTCTCCAGACGGGCTCGGCACCGCGTCGGCGACGACGTCCTCCACAGTCAGCAGGCTGAGCTGCAGGGAGAGGTCGGCCGAGGTGGAGTCCAGCACAGAGTTCATCACGGAGGAGTTCATCACGGAGGAGTCCTCCGTGTCGGCAGCCGGCCTCCGGAGGGTGACGCCGTCCTCCCCCCTTACGGACTCGACCCGCAGGCCGCAGGAGCGGCCGAAGTAGTTCAGGGAGATGACGTTTCCTGGCAAAACGACGTTCCCAACTGGCACGAGACAGAGACAAACTAGTTACTAACAAGTTATTCCATCCAAAGGAAGCGCATCAGTCCCTCGGGACATTCAAAAACAGGACAGTGTTACTTTTTCGTCAAATGGGGTGGATGTATGGGGTGATGTCCATCCATCCATGTGTGTATGAAACGGCACCACAGAGGATTCCCAGAAGTCCTCTGCTTCTATGAGCCAACGAACATGCAACGGCGTGAGGAGGAAGTGACCCACTCACCCAGAGTCTGCACGAAGAAGTTCATGAACTCGTCCGTCTCTAGTGTGTCATCTTTAGACCTGAATCAAAGTTATATGTAAGCGATGAATTAACTATAGTCATCGTATAAATTAATGTGTAACATGTTTCTTGGACTAAAGTTTCAATTATCCAGCAAAGCGCTCTTCTGACATTAAAATAACATTTCAATAATTTATTTCATAACACAGTTTAAAACAATAAATAAAAAATATGGCATAACATGCAACATATAAACAGATTATATGAATAAATATTATAGAATATAGACCAAAATGTAGATAAATTGATTCAAGACAATACTAATTGATTGTTTGGCATTTTAGCTGCAGTTGTGATGTGTAACCAGCAGGTGGCAGCATTCACCTGACTCACAGCATAAAGATTCTCATGCTGTGCACATCAGCTTTTTAATAGAGGAAACTCTGATCTTTTACGTTTGTAATTCCTAACATTAGTTTTGCGTTGGGATCTGAATGTTCGGCTGCAGATGTTACTGAATAGAATTTAGTTGTGAACAGAAGAGCAGTTTTATGACATCTGTATATCCCCACGCTCCAAAATATCCAGAAAAAGGTTCCACCACAAACAGCACACTGTGAATATGATACTTAACATGTATGGTGTCAATGAGGGCGAGCTGGATCTGACCTGTTTGAGAGAAGCACCTCCTCCGCCTGCAGCACGGGACCCGTTACCGGCTGCAGCATCACCTCGTCCCCAGACTTCACTCTCAGGTTGTTCTGAGCGCATCTCTGAAGACCCACTTTTCTAGCGGGAAAGGAGGCAGTCGGCCAACCTAAACACACCTGGAAGAGGCGGGAGAACACATTTTTCAACATTATCAAAAGTATTTCACAGGCAGCCGAGGAAGGTGGCGCCCGCAGAACAGAAGGGATTTGTCAGGACTTAACAGAAAACCGCATAACGTGTTTATCAGTGGATATTTTAAACATCATTACAGATGTTTGAACATTATCTGGCGCTGAAACCGACGAGGAGAGAAAAGAGGAGGAGAGGGCACCTCTTGTCGTCCCGCGGGACTCGTCAGCAGGACCGGCCTCCCGATGCAAACGCCGGCTGACTTCATGGAATTCAGGCTCAGCTGGACTAAAGTTGATCTGCAACTTTTAGGCGTTTTGTCGTCAGCTGCGAGGAAAGTTAACAAAAAACATCACGTGAAGATAAATCTTTTATAAAAAGGACCACAAGTAGTTTTTGCTCACAAGCGTAATCATATTTTATAAATAATAATTTCATGTTATTTCCTGATGATGCTGATATGTATATACATATACACACATATCAAAAAGGGGAATATCAGCATCACAAATCCTGCTTTCAGAGTAATACAGCTAAAAGATGATAACCGTTGGCTGGCGGCTGGTCCATCTCCACCTTGCAGACTGGTCCAATGTCTTGTTTACCTTCACACCCCCTACAACCTTCTCCAGTGTCTTCGCCCCCAGAGACTCACCTTTGTCAATGAAATCGATGACAGTGAAAGAGTGGCTGCTCAAACTCCTGCTCCTTCCGCCCTCCTGGCCGGATGTCGTCAGGCCGCAGGAATCATTCGAGCTGTCCCCTTCACTCGCTCTTTTCGATTTGCTTTTATTTTTCTTTGAAGACATTTTAATAGTGAAAATATCCTCCACGTGAAGCCGCCAGCATGTGTAAACACGGAGCGGTGTTGTAGACTTCCTGGTTGGACTTTAGCCCCGCCCCCTCCTACCGTAAAGCCTCGCTTTGCGACAGTGGGTAACTCTTTTTTGTATTTATTATATTTTAGAACATACCTGTTTTACTTTTATTCCATATTCCAACAGAAATACCAAAATTTGCAATGAGTGACTTGAAAAGATGTGTATATATGGCTGTAAAACAGTGTAAGTGTATTAGTCACTAGCTAGAGGAAACACATACTTTAATAACATTAAGGTATTATGAAACTCAAATACAGTCTACGATTCGGCATAAATATAACATGCCAATCAGCACGTTTTCATAGTTTTCCACGGTTAGTCTGTAATTGTTGTGCCTTTTCCTTGAGCCAGATGGCGTCTCGCAGGAACCACAGCAAACAGTAACAACTATGTCGAAGTTGTTATTTGACCGGTTTAAAAATGATTGACTGGCTTATTTGTCCGCCGAATTCAACAAAAATACCGTGGTGGCTGTTTTCAAAGCAATGTCTGTACGGTTAGTAAGATTAGTACTACCATGTATGTATTTAAAGGCTTAATAGTAAAAAGTTCGAATGACGTGCGCCGTTTTGCGGTCAGCTGGTGCTATTCTACCAGAGCATTACGGTATTTATGCAACCCGCGGGGCGGAGGTTTACGTAACCGTTCTGTTGTCACGTGGCCGGTCGGAGGAACGGACGCCCCGGTCGTAGCCGCAGTTACCCTTTAAACCCCCGCGTGTGTCCGCACGGAGACATGGCGGCCTTCGCTTCGAGGCTGTTCCCGGCGGCGATGGGAAGGTTCTGCGGCGCGCGCTCACCTGCCCGCGCGCTCTCGCGTACCCCGAAAGTAACCGGAACCGGCGCCCTGGCGGGCCAGGGGGACCGATTCGGCGGCGTGACCGTGGACCTGGCCGACACCGGTCTACCGGAGGACGTCAGCGAAAGCTCGTTCGGCAGATTGCTTCAAGGTTGGTGGTCGCAAAGTGTGAATGTGGATGGAGATTAATGCACCGGGTCGTGTCTTCCGTGCAGGTGCGTGCGTGACACTGTGTCACGTGCACCGAAGAAGACGCAGGTGCATGGATGCTTGACAACGTGTCTGAACATCCGTTGCTTAATGAATAGACTGCATGCAATATAACGTTAGGTCTTTAAACTCCAAAACATATATTAAACAAATATTTTTAATTTATCTTGATTTAAGAGTGAACATTATATATTATAACACCTATTTAAGTTCGTAGATGACGCATAATTGTTTTATTATTGCTGTAAATTGATTGTCTGTGTACCGGCACTGCATCTGTACCTGCATTCTTCCAATCACTCCGGGGTTCGAATCAGGAACCTTCCAGGACATTCGATAAAGCAGCGAGTCTCTCCACCCCGATGAACCTTTTGCTCACTCCGTAGGCTCGCTGGCCCAGTGGAAAGCCGAGGGGAAAGTGGCGGTGTGGCTCCGGGTGCCCATCTCCATGAGCCGGTGTGCCGCCGCCGCCTCCGCCCACGGCTTCACCTTCCATCACGCCAAACGGGACCACGCCGTGTTGGCCCTCTGGATGGGGGACGGGGAGAGCAGGCTGCCGGGGTTCGCGACTCACCAAATTGGAGTGGCAGGTAGAAATTCCTTGGCTCTTGGGAAGCAGTAGGTTGACACAACAATATTACCTGAAAAAGGTCAGCTGACTAACTTTACTCCGAGTTTAAAATCATCCGTCTCATTGTTCCTTCCAGCAATTATTCGTCACGTACATCACAATCTTTCAGTTATTGCCTGTTGTTTGTATATTTTAAAAACTAACAGACCGCCATCAAAAAACAATAGAGCTAAAAACTATTGGGTTGGTTTTGAATTGGCTGAAAATGGTCATGATGAAAATAACTCTTGCAGTGGTGGAAATGGATGTGTGCTGAGAGGAGCAAAAAGAGGAGTCACTCGGCCTGAACAGAGCGGCTCTCCTGATTGGCCAGCAGAGGGCAGAGTGCCGTTTTTTTACTCATTTTCTTTTTCAGGAGGATGTAGTTGAAGCATGTCAGAACATGTCCACAGCGCCCTTCAGGATAGAAGAGGGTCCAGAACCCCCCCCCCCCCCCCCCCCCAGCTTATGTTTCCCCTTAACACCCCGGTACAAACAATGACGACACACAATTCAACAGTAATGCACAGTCAATCGACTGAGAGGGTTGATGGGTTCCTACCTTGGGGATCTTTAGAAGGACGTCTATAGGACCAGAGGAGTCGCCTCCCGGTGGCTGTTAGCGGAATCCACCCAGCTGCACTTAAAGTCTGACCTTTTCAGGACAGGGGTCAATAACTTAAAGACCATGCAGTAATTGTCCTTTGGACAGCGTCCGCTCTCTTTAATGCCCTCAGCCCGTCTCGACGCGTGCGACCGATCCACCAGCCCTGAAGAAATGCAATTGTTTTCACGGAAACCAAGGCAGCCGAATCAAGAGGCTGGACGCTAAGAACGTGTGCTGATTTAGGTTTCAGCAATGAAACACGTCTGCAGTGATCTACAGCGACTCTCCATCCCCATCGTGACCTCAAGGTGCACCACGGGTCTGCAGCTGTGACCCGAATTACTCCCCCAAACAAAAATCACCGTCAGAAGAAGAAGCCAACGTGAAATGATAAATGACGAGAAGACTTCTGAGCTTGGTTCTGGCTCAGAAACCAACCGTGACCTCAAGCGATTCACAGCTTGCTTCTTTCTTTCTTTCTTTCTTTTTTTTTTCCACTACAGAACCCACATCTCCTCTGTGATGATTTTTCCCCCCTCGTAGTTCATATTTCCTTCTCTCCCGCTGAGCGTTTGGTTTGCTACGCTCCATAATGATAGCCCTCCGCTGGCACCAGGCGCGCCTCCTACCGCGAAGCGCCGTTTGGCCCGCTGGATCGGGGCTGACGTCAGTTTCCACTTGGAAGGCCAAGTCGGGCCGTTGAGACGACCTTCCGTTACGCAGCCGTGACACTCACGGAGGCCGGAGTTTGTCCACTTTTGCTCTAAGTGTAACGCCGGCTTTTGCCCGACGAGCACGCGAAGGGGAACGGCGGCGCTCTCAGTGAGCAGGTCCTCCCCCCGCAGCATTACTATCTCTTTTATTCTCGACAGGTATGCAGCGCTGAGGAACAAAACGCACGTCATAAAACCTCCTGAATGATTGTGTTGTTTCGCAGGTGCAGTTGTTGATGAATCGAATGGAAAAGTTCTTGTGGTCCAAGACAGAAACAAGGTAAATGGAATTGATTTGAAGATACTTGTAAACCTCTGCTGTTGTTTAGCTACTTTCCTAGTGAAAGGAAGGTTGTTTCCTAATGAAAAGGATAAACTGTTTCTATTTAGAATGGGCGAAGTTCACAACCGGATAAACTCCTGTAGAAGAAAGAATCTCTCACATTTGGGCGGGTGTTGCCTGACGGAGCCTGAAAGCAACACATTAGACACGGATCTGGTTACTGGTTTGAATCCCAGGGCCGGAGCAAACACCCTGCTGCTAAACGCTCCGGTGATTTGGTCGTGTTTGTTTACACACACAACACGCCAGCTGACTTCAGGCCCAACGCCCTCACATACACCCCCCCCCCCCGGCTTGCTATAAGGGCCGCTTTGAAAGAGAAATGTTTGCTACACAGACCTGTTTACATTCTCGGGGGGAACCAGATTTCAGCACGGCGGCGGCTCCTGGACGTCAATGTCAGGTCATGTGACCACCTGTCAAGTTCCATTCATTTGGATTATTTTGTCAAAGTTCTCTCTTCGGTTCTAGTAGAAAAAATCTGAGAAGGAACAAAATCAATTTCACACAACGTAGTTTTATAACGTGTGCCGGCCGTCTTCTAAGAGGGTTTAACGTGTCTTCTGTCCAGAAGCAGAGGGAAACAGTTAGTGGCCCTTAAGTGGGGGGAGTTTTATCTCTTCATCCTCCTCCTCCTCCTCCTCCCACATCGAGCCGTTTACTGGAATCAGGCGTTCTGCAGTAAGTGTTTGGCAAACTGAGCCGGTTCAGAGCTCACAGGGGACATCGGACTTCCTGACCCGAAGCCGGGGCGTTATCGCTCTCGCATCAGCACAAGAGACCAGCGACGGACCCCCGATGGGCCGCGAGGGATTCCACCCTTTTCATTTAAACCAGCGCCCAAGCGTTTTACTCCCAAATCCAGCATGTGTTTTACGCGTGTCACTCTGAGGTACTACTGTGAAAAAGCACACCGATTAGAGTCAAACAAGATCCCTTTATTACATCCATACTAGCACACTTTAGGAACAGCACCCTGTTAACATGAAGGACATGAAAATAAATGCTGCAGTGTATCCGTGTTCCTCACAAAGACACAATTTGCAAAACGAGGTGAATCTAAGATGGAATAGCATTTCTTAAAAATAAACTACGGCATGCTTTTTTTTCTTTTTTTTAACTACAAAAATCGACCTATAACAACACTGACACCATAACTCAACCAGCAGCAGACTGTTATTAAATACCAAGTTTTGCAAAAACACTGAATATGAAACATGAGTGAACGGCAGTCGAATCCTTTTGAACACAATTTTCTCTTACAAGCTTTTAAGATACGGCCTCGTGGATAAAATAGACTAATAGACAACATTTATTTCAAGGTTCCTTGTGAACACGAGCTACAGCTACAGCAGTGCCATCCATCACAATGGATGTTGGTTGTTAACTTTGCCCTCGTATTTCAGACAAAGAATGCGTGGAAGTTCCCCGGCGGCTTGTCTGATCCGGGAGAAAATATCGGTGAGCAAAGGACCACTCCTACAGTACATCGAGCTGGAAGCCTTCCCCTTCGGTGCTAAGCTAAAAGAGGATACATATGCGGAGAATCTACATTCAAACCTGTGTAAATATATGTGTGTGTATGTGAACAGTCCACCGTTTGTTGTTTTTCCCGCTCCCCCAGGGGCCACCGCTGTCCGGGAAGTCTTTGAGGAGACCGGCGTCCGCTCCGAGTTCAAGTCGCTGCTCAGCATCCGGCAGCAGCACGACCACCCCGGCGCCTTCGCCATGTCGGACATGTACATCATCTGCCGGCTGCGCCCGCTCAGCTACGACATCGACTTCTGCACCCAGGAGTGTCTGCGCTGCGAGTGGCTGGAGCTGGCCGAGCTGGCCCGGACGGACCGCACCACGCCCATCACCTCCCGCGTGGCCCGGCTCCTGCTGCGCGGCCTGGAGCGCGGCTTCGGCGAAATCGACCTGGTCATGGAGGAGCTGCCCGCCGTCTACTCGGGGGTGTTTTACCAGCTGTACCTCAGGCCGCTGAAAGGCTAGCGGGGTTAGCACGCCGCGGCTACACGCGTTGACAGTCAGTGTTACTGGTATTTGAGGAGTAGTCGAGGCTGGAATTGGGGTTGCAGTGTGTTTTTGATTTTTTTTTTCTTCAGCGCCAGCTGGAAGCTCTGAAGAAATATGGTGCCAATCTTTTTTTTGCGTTTCATACGGTTAATTAACAAAAAAAATTAATTGGCGGCCATGTTGGAAGTCCAAATCTGTTGGACGGCACTGGCTGCCAGAAGCACTTTTCTTTTGTTTGGTTTGACACGAGCGGACAACCAGTCAGTGGCGAGTAGCAATATTCACTACGGGCCTCCAAAATGGCTGGTTGGAGGTCAAAATCACCTTTTCTTTTAAGGTCAAGTGCCTTCTATGATGTTTATCTGGTCTACGTGCGTCGGGACGAGCTCAGGTCACCCGTGGACTAGCTATGAAGTGTAATCAGTGCTTCTTGGGTTTTAGTCGGTTTAGTTTGCTCGGTTTGTTCCGTCAAACCGTGTTCTATCACACAATTCTAAAAGTCCGTCACGCCGAAACAGCCCTTCACGTTTCAACAGAATATTCCGGCGCGCGGCCAACGTCCTGCAGCGTCCAGTCAGGCAGAAGCGTTATCGACAGGTCGCTGGTTTCAATCCCTCGGCCAGAGAGGGACGACCCGTACGGGTCAGACAAACGCCGTAGCAGCGTCGCAAATGGCCAGTCGGCAGGAAAAGCTTGTTTTTTATTTTTATTTGTTTCTTTCTTTCACTGGGAAGCAGCCGGGTGTGAATGCGCTGCACTGTTTGCCGGTAGAAGCTGAAGGAGAGCAGACGCATTCGATGGAGCTCTTCGTCTTCTTCGTTGGCATCGACTCGATCCGATTAGCACTTAGCCGACATGGGGAGGAACAGAATGGCCTTTTGACCGGGTCCGGTTTTGCTCCCGGACTTGTACTGGCCGGTCCGCTTCAGAGCCACGTACATGCCGGGGTACTTCCTGGAGCGGTAGGTGTTGTAGTTGTTACTCTCCAGCCGCTCCAGGAAGTAGCATTCGTCCGTCGCCCGTCTCTGGGGAGGAAAGACAGAGCTGGATTTAGTTCTGCTTCATCTGTGAGGAACAGAATTGAAGAAGGGGGGGAGATTAAATCTACAGGCTACAGAGACAAAGATCAACTCTCGCACAGTGAGACTTTTACTCTACAAACTGAGGAAATGTAATAAACTGTAAAACTGCTCTTGGAAAGTGAAACCATGGGTTAGAAATGCAATGCGAGTCGCTTTGGATAAAATCGCCAGCTAAATGACCTGTAATGAAGTTTGGTAATTTAGTCCATTAATGAGTGTTTTCTTTGTTGTGTGGACATCAGCGCTGAAGAACTTATTGGATTTCTCTCGTTTATGTTGTCGGAAAGGGAGAATATTTTTAACGCTGACAATTTGACATTAAATTAGCACAAAAAACATTCAGAGCTCAAGGCCCCCCTTTATTTTGACTTTTTGAAATCATGTCTGCTGGCTTATACAATAAACACATTTTTTTAAAGGAAGCCCTTCCTGATGAGGCACTTTATTAAAGTCGGTCTTCCGCCTCTTCGACTCATGATTAAACAGGATGTGAGGTGAACGGGCTAAAATGTCAAACTTTATGACGCGAAGAATTTAAACAAATGGAGGACAAACAACATCAGTAAAGAAAGTAATTTAAATGACTATCAGATTAATACAATGTGTTTATTTGTTGTGCTGACTGGCCAAAATGTTGCTGTGACAAGGTACGGCCCCCTAAACCCAAAGTAGTACGAGTCTAAAACAATTAGTTTGAAATGTTTTTTGTATTTTTACTCCAGGAAAAATATTGCAATATAATATATGCAATTTTATTTTATTTAGGTGGAATAGATAGAAAATAAGTCCAATCTCGGACGTTATTTGAATAACCTGCTGTTTCAATATCTGTGTACAGACTCCGTCTTTGTTCATTTTAAAACCAATTATGGAATAAATAACGTAATCACAGAAAAAGCTTTTTTCTTTTTCACTCCAAATGGTTAGTGTTTTTTTAACTAGCAGAGCGTGTTGGGTGGCTTCCTATTAAAGAGGAAGCGCTTCTCTCCAATTACACGGACCGGGACGAAGCCTTCACAGCCATCCGACCACATCGGGCCCCCACGCCTCCCTCCCCCGCCGCTGGAAAGGTGGACTTTTGTCCGGTTTGTGGCATAATTAAGGTCTAAAGTGTGAAGTTCTCTCTAACTGTATCACTGATATACTTCTGTCTCTTAGCGCTTCAAACCGCATTCAGACATCCGTCATTGCTGTTTTCACACACTGATAAAGTGCAGCTCCTTAAATGTCTTCTCCAAACCAAGTAAATAACATAACTATCATAGTGGCTCATTTCCTACGCTCCTTACTGGAGAGGGAAAGGGAAAATAACTGATGCTGTTTGTCTCTCTGAATCTCGTCTATAACATCGTCTGTAATGTTTTGGCAAAGCTTTTCTTGTGACAACAACGGGGGAGGATTTCGGGGGTAATTGGTTTCCTAAACGCCGCTCGTGTTGACGTTCAACGGAGGCCGGTTAACAGAGACTTTGCACTTTGAACCCTTGGAGGAAACGCCACTCGATGATTTGGCGGTAAACCCCGAAAGCCTTTACAGAACACAAACGGCGTGACGTTTGTTTGAAGACGGCGATCCGGCTCGCTCACCACTCCGAACAGCCGGCCGTCTCTGTTCATGGCCAGATAGCGGTTGGCACAGACTCCTTTGATGACCACCTCCCCCACCGACGTCGCCTGGATTTGGAGCTTTACTGAGGAAAAAGACAAACGATTAATTGAGCAAAAAGGAAGAAGACACCGGCCATGAGCAGTTTGCTTGTGGTATGGTTCAACTGACTCGATGGAACCACACATCACAGTGCAGATTGTTCCCCCCGTTGCTGCAGTAAATGAATGAAGCACCTCGGCAACCAAAAAAGCGTTTTGCTTGAAACCAAACCACCAAAAAGTAAGCAGGGGCCCCCGTAAAAGGTAAATAAGGGCATCTGTGCAGCATGAATCCACATGAAGACTTCAGATAAACGAGCATCTGTGTGCAGTTAAGATCATTCATGGGACAGATCAAAGACGGGTTCTTCCCTGGAAGAAGCATTTATAATTGGTCTGTGTTGGAGGTTTACTGGTTAGAATGTGTCCCACGGCTACTGGGAACGGCGGTGTCACGTTGTCCCCGCAGAGCTTTGGCGCGTGGGGAAACACAAAGGACCACCAGAGGTTCCATCTGCCGTAGCACAACAATCCCACTCGAGGGTCCTTGGAAGCGTCTCGCTAACGCTTCCAATGCTAACTGGCAGGTGCGTTACGTTGTCCAAAAAGTTGGCGAGCCAATTCCCGCCTCAACAAAAGGACCATTGATGACACACAGCTCGAGGCGCATTTAGCTGGAACAACGCATTATGGTAAAGAGCTAAATGATTAATCCCAATTCCTGGTCAGTGACTCATTGGGGATGTATTATATTCTGAAGCTACAATGTGGACTCTTTGAAGCAGCAGTTTATTTTTCACACGACCAAACTAAACATCAGCAAGGTCCCTCTGAAGGTTAATTAAAAGTTTGATTATCCTCAAAATAGCTCGTCTCTCCTCGAGGTTGCATATCAGGCATTAGTTTGGGCACACCTGCTCGATACGTCACCCTGCAGCTCGGCCGGTACGCGTATTTTTACCCTGATTTTTCTGAAGTCCGCCCCCTCCCACTTACTGATGCAACTGTAGACACACACGGGGCAAAGCGACCGGCGGTACGGGGGCACGGAGGGGTATCGCAGCTGAAGGCCAGACCAGCACGTTACTGTTTCCGCACTAAAAGTGGATAAAGTCCTATAACCTACACTAACAGGGATCTTCCGACCAGGGATACGCTTATTGTGGCTCCTTATTTCATACTCACCCACATTCCATCAGAGTGTGCATTGATTAACAGACACATGTGTGGTGTATTTCTCTCATTAGACTTTCCAGAACAAGGGCCTGCACACATCGTGGCGTGTGAGCCTCACACGGCTGGAAAGTTCACATCGTTCCTCCGTGATGGTTTTGAAAAGGGAAAAAAGTGCATAAAGAAGCTTTGTGTGTGTGTAAAGCACAGAGGGGAAGAAGAAGAAGACTGGAAGTACTTACTGTGGGCGTCGCTCTTCTCCCTGATTCCATCTACACCTCCGTCGGACCTGATCCTCAAGAAGAAGCCCCCGTTTTTGCAGTACAGCCTCTTGGGATCCTTGAATCCCCCGGGGGTGAAGCCGCCGCTGCCGCCGTCTTCGGGCGTGGAGGGAAGCGTCGCGAAGCCTGCCGTGGCCATTATCCTCCTCGCTGCCCGCTTCCCCGGCGACTGCCTCGTCTCCCTCTGGAGCGGCGCAGGAGAACCCGCCGTGGCCTCCCACCACCTCCCACCCACTGCCGCCGGGCCTCCTCCTCCTCCCCTCCTCCACAGAGTCTTGCACGGTAATCCCCACGGAGCGTCCCACCGCCCCCCTCACCCGCTGCTCAGGGCCGGCGACCCGCCCTCGGAGTCCTGAGGCAGAAGGACTCCTAAACCTGAAGGCCTCGAGCCGACAGCACGCGTCTAAAGTCCGGCGTCCAGCTGCCGGTCCGTAGTTCTTCCTTCAGAGCTGGCGACTGCTTCGCCAGTGCAGTTTGAGCACACTGTTAGTATGTGCGCCCCCCCGGCCCCCACCTCGCTTCCACTCCTCTTGCAATGAAGTGCTTGAATCAGGGCAGCTGGCTTAGATCTGTGTGGAAGGCTTTTCCCCTTTGGGCCTCAGTTCGCATGCGCTCTAGGAGCACCAACACACACAGACACTTATGCAGTGGTCCTGCTGTGCGCCTGGCTTACTACTCACAATTACTTGAATCATTTCTGTCATATGATTGCATGTATTAGACATTGTTCATTCTGTACACATGGCATCCATTGTAGTCTGTCCATCCCGGGAGTGGGATCCCTCCTCTGACGTCCTCCCTGAGGTTTCTTCCCTTTTTTTTCCCTCTTGGAAGGGTTTTTTTCATTTTTTGTGCAGTTTTTCCTGTGCCGATGGAGGGTTTCGGGACAGAGGATGTCGTATGTGTACAGACTGTAAAGCCCTCTGAGGCAAATTTTGGGCTACACAAAATAAAATGAATTGAATTATGCTCCACTGATTTAATCAACCGACCTGGCAGAAGAAGTGCATGGGGGAGAGAGGGAGGGGGAGGGGGGGGGGGGGGGGGCATGGACTCTTCAGGACCCCTCAGAGCGCCAAAAGCAGTGACCGGCAAGTGAACCTGAAACCAGCTTTTTCATTCATCCGGAGAAAGAAGAGAGAGGAGTGGAAAAGAAAAACTAGCACAGACTGGTTTTTAATTACTACTCTCCTCTCCCCCATAAGCAGCTGTGGGGGGGGTACTTAACACACTTTTTTGTCACAAGAGCTACAAGTTGTTGCTTTTCACATTTTTCGAGCCAAAATATTTTGACTTTTATTCTCCATGATATTTTTAGACTGAATTTTTCCAAAACACTTTGACGTAATATTTCTTTATTTTTTTCCCATGATATTTCAACGTGTTGACTTTTTCTAAGTCAAATAAACTTAACTTGTACCTCCTATTAGAACAATATGCAGCGTTTACGAGGGAGAGAACATGATAAGACGGCAAGTTAAATATCATTTGAATATGTAAACATATACTACATAACAGTAGTTCATATTTAAGGTTCTGTGCTACTTTTATGATGTGGCTATTCAACTAACTGGAGGTCAAAAGGGCAATCAAATAAATATCCCTTCAATTGTTTAGTGTGTCAGCATTTAGAAACTACAGACAGACAGAATTCTCCTCATTTTAGTTGCCTGCATCAGCGTCAGATAATTGTTTGTCTCCCCCAAGTGGTGGTATAAGTTTTATCACTTTACAGCAATAACAACACTTTAGTCTGTTTGCACCGTGTGCCAGTCGCAAAAAATAAATCCATTGTCGCCGTCTGAAAAGTCTGAAACGTTCCAGATGTTGCCTGGAGGTCACAACAGCATCATATCTCCCTCCGCAGCGTCATGATTTGGGCCGACGCCTGTGATGATCTCCGCGTCCGTCTGTAAGACGAGGAGAACCAGGTCCAAGGCTCTCCTCCACGCTTCCTGCTTCACACTCATACCGTCGTAGACCTGTGCTGCTGGTGCGTCACTACATCTCAGGGAACCATCCTCCTGTTCGCCTGCAAAAGACAGTTGTGAGAATTTCGCTTGATTTTCCGCATGGTTCTTCAGTCGTTGGCTCACAGCGGTCCTGGCTCGGACTTTTGAAACCCCCCCGGCGTTAACCATTACGGTGGATATGTAATCCACTAAACCCTCTGCCATGAGGTTCATCACTAAACCCCTGTACGGGTTGGCCGCTCTCCCTGCTTTGGTCTGCTGGACGCCGCCCCCACTCCTCCCCGCGTCGTGCCTTCGCTCCGCTCGCTCTCGTAGGTGATGAACGCAAAGCATTTCTGTCACTCCGGCACCGGGCAGGAGGACGGCGTCTGTCAGCGCGTGGTGTAAGCGGTACGCACACGCCCAGAACTGGTCCTCCAGGGCCTGCAGCTTGCTCGGCACGCAGCTCGCGAGGACGGCGGTGACCAACCCGTCGCGCTCCCCGGTGGAAACACTCACAGCCGTAGAGGGCTTGGTCTGACGGCCGGCGAGGTCGCCCCATATGGCGACCTTCACGCCGGCTCCAACACAGCGATTACTCAACTGCGTGGCGTAGGTCACCGGAACCGCTCCCGTCGCATCAGCCAGGGCCTTCAAAACTGAGACATTCGCTTTTTCCACCACAAGAATGTGGAGTCTGCAACAACGCTGAATCACTTTCTCGCTAGCGATCCCGCTGACGACTACCAGGTTCACTTCTAGGTTCAGCAGAAGTGTCAACACTTTTTCCGTCCACTCTTCCGCTTTGCTAGAACTCAAAAAGTGCACCCGGTCGCTCACACACTGTACAGCCTGTAGCCTTTTGAAGCCGAGATGGCGATAGGTATCTGATAAATCTCCATTGATCAGAGCAACCTTCAAGTGCTGTTCTTTTAAATGATGGGCGACTGAGGCCTGTTCATCAGACACGTGAACAACGCAGCCTTGTAAAACACATGAATTCTCTTCTGGCAAACCAGGCAGCACACAAGTGGCCACTTTAGAAACATCGAAGGTAGAACCGCTGACATCTTGTGGATTATTCTTGGATTGTAAACGGCTGGCTTCGATGACTAAATTCATTGCTCCGACATAACCGTGACTCAATCCCGCAGCAACGAGAGCGACGTCAGGAGCCTTGCGTCGAGGAGGTTGCGTTGCCGTGGAGGCGTCTTCAGCCTCGGTCTCATAAAAATGTCTGCTGAGCTTTATTTTCCTTCGTCCACTGGCATTTAGAGTCTTGTCAGCAGCCTGTCTTGTCCCTCGCAGGTGGCACGACGCTTGTGAGGCCTCTGCAGTGTTTTTTTTTAAGAGGTTAAGTCCCAAACCCTGAGAGGTCGCGGCGCAGCTCTCCGCCGGCGCCGCACCAAGGCTCTCAGTTGAGACGCTGCATTTCCTGCAAACATCCAAGCACACATCCATCCCTTCAGACATGGCAGAGATGATGCGCGCCACCGGAACTCCTTTCTGCAGGCACTCGGTGGCGGCGCGGCTCCACGCCCCCGCGAGAAACAGCAGGCATCCCGACCCGGCGCCGTAGACCTTCTGGTGGGCTCGAACGGTCTCGTAGACCAGTTGACCCACGCCGCAGGTCAGCTCCAAGTTCTCCAAGAGGCGAAAGCACGAGCACGCGAGAGCCGACTCCCCGCTCGTTTCATCTCGGATAAACTTGTACATTTTGTTGGGGCCCAGAGAGGAATGTGTGATTCCTGCCAGCGCCGAGAGCTTCTGCAGTCCAACATGCTGCCGGTGGTTTACGATTGTACACGCCAGCATTGCTCGAGGGGCCTGAATTGTAAAAGGACATTTAATATTGGTTTATATGTTATTCCAAGTAAGATAGGTAGTACAAGTTAACATGCTTAGCGCTAAAGATTAGTCATGTCATTAACCAATTTGCATAATTATTTAGTATATTTAAAAAGGAAATGTGATAAATAGATTGAATACTTCCACCACTGTTTACGTTTTTGGTCAACAGCATAGATACAACTGCAACTACTAGTTAATAAATGAACATTGTACAACACAAAACATAAAATCTATATAAGCAGGTGACTAATATTAGCCTGTAAAGCTACCTGACAAGCAGCTAACAAGTTAAGCTAACAGGCTATTGACTTCAGAAAAGAATTCACTTCTCAAACGAGACCAAGCGCGCAGTAAAACATATGGAAGTTTCTCCAAATGATCATTCTGCTAAACAAACTGTATCCAGACATAAAAATAAATAATGATACCTTATTCAATAATGTTTTACAGTATAGTTTCCGATTGCCACTAGCCAGTTGCCTGCACGAGCGATGAAAGACTGCGCATGCGCTATATTTGCTGGTTGCTGGGCAACAAGAAACGATCGCAGCCATTGGCGCACACGACTACGGCCCGCCCATTGCGTTCTCAGATTGGCCAGTACGTTCGCGTCTCGGTGTGTTCGTGGTTTCCATTGGCTATCTCCCCTGTCATTTCAACAGGGAAAAAAAGTACCGCCGTTGCTGAATGTTTTGTTGACATCACAGAAGACAAAATTGCAACCTTCCCGGCCGAATCATTCATTTAAATGGTATATATTCATTTAAATGTCGAGTGTTAATCGTACGCTGTATTAAAATTCCGTGAAATTTCTAAATTTACAGTGAAAAGCTATTCGATAAAATAGTTAAAACGTGTTTCTATTTGGTTTCGTGGAGCAGCACGGCAGCTAGCGTTAGCTAGCATGACAGCAACAGTTTAGCTCAGCTGCACTGCTGACTGAGGAGATACCTTATATGAAGCAGCGACCACGTCTTTACGCCGTTTTGTGTGTGCTTTCAGGCTACAGGTTTCCGAAAAGCAGCTTCTTCGGCGAGTCAAAAGAAGAAGACACTCGTTAAAATAGATCTGACCGAGGAGCAAAAGCAAGAAATCAAAGAAGCGTTCGAACTCTTTGACACGGAGGGCAGCGGGAGCATAGACGTGAAGGATCTAAAGGTTCGTTTCCTGGTCCTATCGGGCTTGGATCCGATGTAAAACAAGTGCATGTATTCATGCCACGGTGAACAAATACCCTGACGGATGTCCCCGTGTGTCTGAGCAACAGGTTGCCATGAGAGCGCTGGGGCTTGAACCAAAGAAAGAGGAGATCAGGAAGATGACCGCAGAAAGTGAGATGGCGACCTCTGGAACCATCGAGTTCCGTGACTTTGTCACTATGATGACCGATAAAATGGTGAGCTGGAAAACATGCTATTTCCACATCTGGGAAAGTCACAAATAAAGTCACAAATCTGCCCATCTCATCACTTTTGGTCACCAGTTGTTGTTTTTTTTAAACAGTATATCAGAAGCAAATACTCCAATGAAGTTACAGTGAAAGTGTTTAAACATACCAGAGTCAAGAAAATGCATTGGAAAACTAATAGAGGCGTTTGTCATTTGTCATGTCCTTGCTGTCGTAAGAGCGAAATAGACGCCAAAGAAGAAATACTGAAGGCGTTCCGTCTGTTTGATGACGACGGCACGGGGAAAATCTCATTCAAAAATCTCAAGCGAGTTGCCAAGGAGCTGGGTGAGACCCTCACAGATGAAGAATTAAAGGTATTTTTGTTTTCTAATGACGTGTAATGTTTTCCACGTACTAAATAGAATGATGTCACACAGCCTTGCCACTGCCCAAAAGTATCTATCTTGCTTTCAGAAAGTATGTGTAGAAATGTCAGATGACAGATATTTAATAATCCTTATTATAAGAGCAACCTCCAAGGACTGCATTTGCATCGATCGATACACTGGTGCATTCCTGTACAATATATTAGCTTTTCTATTGATTGCTGTTTTGCAATTACTTTTAAGATATTTTGCATTACATGTCATTTTGCTGACGCTTTTTATCCAAAGCGACTTACAATAAGTGCATTCAACCATAAGGATACAAACTCAGAAGAGCAAGAAAGTGCAATTTCATCAAATAAGCCAAGTTACAATTTGCTAAAGTTAAGTGCCATTAAAAGTACAATTCAAGTGCTACAGTTTGTTAGTCTTTTAGTCTGAAGATGTGAAGCTCTCTGCGGTCCTGGTGTCATCAGAGAGCTCGTTCCACCATTTCGGAGCAAGGACAGCAAAGACTCGTGATCTAGCCGAGTGTTCTGCTCTCAGTGAGGGAGGAACAAGCAGCTTAGCAGATGCAGAGCAGAGTGCACGGGTTTCATCTTGACTATAAGAAAGGCGCCCGTTACCTCCTCGAGATATCAAGACATCAATGGACATCTATTCAGTTTCTGCATTCCTGCATGCAGGCTGTTGATGCTCCTGCTGTGTCTGTTTGTAGCTACCGGAACCCTGAATATGGGGCAGCATGTGGAGAAACACACTTTTCAATAGTTTTCACAGCAATTACAGAGAAGTGGGGGCTGCAGATACATTTTACAAGCCACAGTAAAGTTAGCAGAATGATCCGGTGATGAACTGTAACTGATTTGTAGCGCAGCGCTTAAAAAATAGATCTTCTTACCGTATTAAAGTAAAATGGAGGAATAAAGACTCCTCAGCGGTGGTAACGGTAACCTGTTTGTTAGACGGACTGGCAGACTGCCGCGTCCTGGTTCCCTTCCTGCCGTCATGTTCCCAGGCCGTCGGTCAAAGTGATAGAAGTCCTCCGTCTCTTATGTGGACATTCAGACTTTGTGTGTCGTCCTTTTTAGGAGATGATCGACGAGGCGGACCAAGACGGTGACGGGGAGGTCAACGAGAAGGAGTTTTTGAGGATAATGCAGAAGACCAAGCTTTACTGACCCCCCTCCCCCCCCCCCACCCACCGCTGCCCCCATGTGGGACCCTTTGATTCCATCTAACAGTTTGTGTTGTGATTTTTCTCGGCCGTTTGTGAATAAATGTTTTTGAGATGCCGTATTTTTGCACAGATTTTTTCTACGGGGCAGAAAAAATAAAGCCATTTCTTGACATTTGTCTCGTGTTACTTTCTTGAATGGCGGAGTTGAGCGTTTTCCCTTTTGTACATGCCGCAGTGCACTCGGCACAGCGTACCAGAATTAAGTTATTGTAGACAGTAATGACAAGCGGAAACTTGACATGAGTAACCCAGAATAAGTCACTCTCACTTCATGGTGCGAGCTACTGAACTAAGTCATCGTCTGTAGAAGACACAGCGCGTCTCCTTCCTGCAGGTTCTGATCGTCTTCTAGGAAAGACGCTCCCGCCGGAGGCGTCTTTTGGACCGACGCTCCGTGCCTCGTCAAAATAAACAGGATACTGCAGTGACGTGTTTTTCCGAGCCGTCAGACGGCGCTCTGTGATTTTGAGGATGCTCGCCACCGGTTGTGAAAGTTCTGATAACCTGTTGTCGACGGCGGAGGAACATCAGGTGGAAAATATGTAAAGATGAGATTTTTCATTTTTAGATTATTCCACACATGCGATGTTTGGTACAAGAATAAAAGTGTGCAAAGGTTCATAGAAGTTTTAGATTTCCAGATCTACAATTTGTGTCCTTTGTAAAATGAGATTTTTCATTTTTAGATTATTCCACACATGACATGTTTGGCACAAGAGTAAAAGTGTGCATAAGCTCATAGAAACTTTTACAGACGATATGTCCTTTACGTGGCACTTTTGTGTACGTGTGTGACTCAGACAATTCCTATTAGACCTAAGTTAAAATAACTGTCTTTGCTTCATACCAAAAGTGCCAGAATATGGAATTGATATGAATTCTACTCATTTTGCTCATCTGCCCAAACTGAAATTTGGAATTGATGTAGATGAGCCAAGTCAAAAGGCCTCTATTTCAAAGGTTCACTTCCCGTCAGCCCCCCCCCCGTGACTCAAATCCGCTGAACTTCTCCGAGTTCAAAGGGCCCCTCGTGCCAGGTGAGAGCTGCTGAACGGCACTTGTGAAACTCTGCGAGAGGAGACTTTCCGTTTGACCCTTCACAGCATTGCGGGTGCGCGGACTCGCTACTTTAACCACAGCTGTGCCCCAAAGGGCCGTTCCAGCACCTTTCCTGTGCTAAACACCACAGAACGGAGATGGCACCGCTGTCGTCAGCCTCCTACCTGCGAGGAGACGCTGCAGCGGGAAGCCTGTATTTCAAGGGGCCGTTCGCATGTCGTATCGTTGGAAAGCAGCCTTTTACTTGAGGGCGCCGCGACGTCCCCCTTTACTCTTTACTCTTACCATCCAAGACGGACGCAGACGCATCGGGGAGAAAAAAGCCACCTGGACTTTGCTGCTAAATTTCCAAAACTCCGTCGCCGCCGCGCTGGGTTTGGTTGCTTGGTAACGGCGGGTTACTCCACCTGAGGCAACAGAATGAGGGCTTAAGGCGGTGTTTTACTCGTGTTTTTAGAGCAACGTGGGAACAGAACCATGTAACAACGCTCCACAGGAGTTGTTTTCAATACTAAGAAGTGAAAGGTATACATATTATACATATTAACCTGACTGAAAACATGAACTATGAAAAAATAAGAAAGAGGAAATAGTTGAAGAAAGAATTGCCCCACCGCCCAGAGACCAAGAGGCACCTCCTTGTCTGCCCATAGATCCAATACTGGAATTCTTGGAATGGTTTCAATGGGCCAGTTGAAGTAAGGAAGGAGCGACCACCCGCCACAAGTGCCAATAGAAAACCAGTTTAAATGATTCAATCGTGCAGCACCGTTTTTTTTACCAATCCGTACGAGTCTCATTTGGATTTCATGTTGATTTTCAAACAGTGCGACCTGACATCGTCGAGGAACGTCCCGCCGAAGCCCCTCCAGCTAACCCCTCGCTCTGAGAACGCGTCGTGTCCGATTCAGAAGCGGATCCAGCGGGCGAATGAGGCGATCACTCAGACGCCGGGAGAGGAGAAGGTGCTTCAGCTGCGTGGAGCCGTCATTTCGGATCAGTTGGGCGTTTTTTTTTTAAGCGTTGGGTGTTTGATTTTAGAACAAAACTCTTCTTTCGGAGTTTGGCGTTTGTGAAACGGCAGTTTCAGGGCCTGCAGTCTGCTCACAGCCCCTCGTTATTCCCCTGCTCGTGTGGTTAAACGGCGTTCACATCACCGTCTGTGCAATACTCCCACTGACGCTTTCTCTTTTCCCACAATATGATCAATTTCCAAAACAACAAAGCGCCGAGAGTCTGGTCGTTGCTGGTAAACGGTGATTTTATTATTAATGCTTAAAGGTCAAGAATGTGTCACCATTAAGTAGGAAACCTATTTTCACAAACCCCCTTTTAAGTAAGACGAGCTGAAGGAAAGCTAATAAGCCTCATTGTGCCCAGAAGAAGCAAAGAGGGACTGACTGCACTGCTGGTACGTTTGCTTTTCAACATTTGAGCAAGTCTTTTAATATTTTACACTGTGATGCTTTTGTTTTACATCTTCTTTTCATTGCCATCTTTGGATACAATGCACAGAAAACGTGCAAATGAATCCTTTGAAGCCTTAATGACTTTTTATGTGCTGCCGGAGGCATGAATGATGATTTGAGTGTTAGTGGAGATCTGAGTCTAAACCTCCTAACCAATCACCTAGGAGCATTTAGGTAGATCGAGTGTGCAGGACTGTGGAAAAAGAGCTAGCTCAACAAAGAGTATTTGAGGGTTGCAAGTTTTTGTATTAAAAGACAGATTATTCTTCAACATTCTCAACAACCATCAGGACATTATTCCTTAATTTACAGCATTACTGAGCACAGCGTCCTAAAGGAGGTAGAAGGAAGTCAGAAGCTTTAAGAGTGGACTCCAAGAGCAATACATGTTGAATTTGAGAGTTTACATTGAAAAATAGTCTGAGATTATTATGTTGATCTGGCTTTCTGAACTTTAATTCTGTTCATTTTTATTAGTCCTCATATTCTGAAATGATCGTTTCTTTCACTTTACATTAATGGTTGATAAGATGAAAAATGAGTTTTACTTTAAGATGTCTCGCTGTCTGATCAACTACGTGATGGACAAAATGAAAGAGGAAAATCTGTTCAGTGTGAAGGCAATTTTATTTGTTTAGCACATTAACAAATTAACAAGGCAACTCAAAGCGCTTCACATGAAACTTAAAAACATCCAAACATAAAACAAGGAGATTTACAAACTGTTAAGAACATCGGTTTAAATGTGATTAAAGATAAAAAAAGATGTAAAGAAAAACCGAATAAAAAAACACAACATTATACAACAATATATATAAAATTATATCCAAAGCGACTTGCATTACATTTTTAACCCATGGCTCTTTTTTTAATACATTTTTTTGCCCGGGAAGCAATTAGGGGTCAGGTGTCTTGCTCAGGGACACTACGACATGGGACATGGGGCAGCCGGGACTCGAACCAGCAAACCTCGCGGTTTTCCAGCACGCCCGCGCTATCCCAGCGCCACATCGACCGGCCAAAATCTCATCCAAAGTGTCGCAGTTTGACACAAACTGAAACAAACAAACAAAAGACAGACATGTAAGAGATGTAATGAGTCAACGCGACGAAGGGAAATTTCACTCTCTTCAAACACACAAAACATTTTTACTATCACGAGGTGGTCGTTGCAGAACGACAGAAATCAATTAATAATTAATGGTTGATTAACGTGGTGAAATTCAGTCATAATTTAGGATGTTGAGATTTCATCCCCCCTATTCCATAATCTCAAAGGAACATCTGAAGCTTGCTGCAATCTGTGTTTTGAACTATAATACACCTCACAAACATCTCCATCCTGCATGAGGTTTTTTTGTATCTGTCATATTTGGTTAATATGAAATAATAAGCCCAAGCACGATGTCAAATAGAGATAAATTCCACATTTGTACTTTGAAACTCAGCTCTGCTAGGATCAGTTTTTTGATTCGCCACCGGCGACTTTGAAAAGCGAACCATAAACAAACCGTGTCGCCCCAGACGAGGCGATCCCCCACCCACGGCCTCCCTGAGCTCTTCCTGTACACTTACGGTAATATCGAGCACACTCCTTTTCCAAATCACCTTCACTCGTCCTTGTTCCAGATCAGTCGACGCGTGCAAAAAAAAGAACCGCAAATAAACAACATTTTGTAATATGAGTTGATTTTCAACCCACTCACCCCGGAAAATGCAAAGTGTTCACAAAGGGGACACCGCAGTGTAGAAAAATCATACTACAGACCGGGGGAGGATGAAGTAGACTACGTTGTTAAGACAAGGGCCAAATAAACAGAGAGAGCACGAGGTTGACACACACACACACACACACACACACAGAAATGAATTACACAGCAATAATTCGCTTGTTTATTGACATTTTATTTGTGTGTAAACACACCATGAAACAACAAAACCCATCATCACAACAGAACAAACCAGAAGGTGTTATAGTGAAATGTGTGTGCAGAAGAGCATCACATGACATTAAGCGGTCCGGCTCGGCCCGTGTTCACAGTAAGTGACGTAAGTGTGAAGAGCGTCACCAGACTTCTGCCAATAATACAATGTTTATCTGAACTACTTCATCCCATGATGGAGATTGTATTTATTCTAAATCTTTATGTTCTTCTTTTGTTCTTTTCCTGGCAGCAGAGTGCGGCCCCACCCTCCCTCAGAATGACTTTACCTCATTCAAGACCATTTGTAAATTCTAACTTCTATCTGTTGTAGTTAAAAACTAAACTTTATTATTAAATAACAGTCCGAACACCAAGAGATACAAACATTTTAATTATTTTTAAGTCGTACAGCTCATACAAAGGAGAGAAATTATACACAAACACACACACACTGACAAAAATAATCTAATTTGAAGCTGTTCCTTCTTGTTGGTTTAAAAATTATCCCGGTTGCTCAGATTCTCAGAAGTCTCAATGAAAATCAATAATGAATGAATTGTTAAAAGGTCAGATTTAGGTCAGATAACAGGCAGGCACTGACTCACACGTTGTGCGCTGCGTTTAACACACTGACCACAAAGAGAAACTCTCCCCTGGGCCGAGAGCTTTAGTCATCGCCCAAAAACATCCCTTGCAGCAGATGTTGTTGTACAAAGGTTTGACGATAAAAAAGGTAAATTTAGGTGGAAAAAGCATGAGGCACATGTGACAGTTAGATTCCTCCACTGCGAGAGGAGTTGCGTTTGTCACCATGTGGAGAGATGAACAGCTGCGTTGGGCTTTGTCAAACAACACTTTTGATAAGTTAATAAAATCAAGTAATTCAATTGCCAACATTTCATAAAGTGTTTGTAAATTGTAATTGGCGTGTAAAAATGTATTTGGTGTTACTTTTTCTTTTTAGCTCAACTAAACTCAAAGGTTTTTGATAGTATTTCTACAAATGTTAATTGTCGATAGATGAGGTCTAGTGAAGGCAACCAGAAAATGTATCCTCATAAATTTTTTATAACGGTCGAAAAGCATTTCGAAACTATAATCCAGGCAACCCAAAAAATAAATTCAATTTTCTTTAAATCTGCTGAGTCTCTTCTTTCTGTGCTCAAGTTATATATGTATATATAGGAATGGTTTAATTTTATTTCTAATTTCATTGTACTCAATTTATCAGAGTTGTTTAGTAATTACTAATCACATACACAAGTGGGTTCTCCTACTAAAGAGGGTGAATTTACACACCGCCACAAACAATTATAGGAAAATGAAACTGCCTTAAAATAATTAAAAAGGTGTTTTTTCAACAGCTAAACTACTTCTTGGGCGTAAATAACAGATGCCTTCCAGTCGCGCATCCGACAGCACCACAGTACTGAAACTGCTCTTGTTAAGGAGATCCACTTAAACACAGACAATGGCAGAATTTCAGTCTTAGTATAGCTGGATCTCAGCGAAGCATTTGCCACGGTCGACCATGACAAACTGGACATACTAATAACTGGGATTCTCTGGCACAGCACTTAACTGGTTTGAATTGTACTTCATTAGACAGAATACTTTGTGTCTGTAGCTAATTACACAAAGCTGTAGAAAAAGATATGTGGCGTTCCCCAAGGTTCATTACTGGGGCCCCTTCTGTTCAACATCTACATGCTTCCATTACGCAGATGACACACAAATCTACGTAACTAACGTTATATTGCCAGGGGACTTCAATCCAGTGGCTGGTTAAATTCAACAAATCAACAACTGGATGTGCCAAAACTTTCAAGTAAACGATAAGTAATTGTTCTTGGTAACACGGGTGAACAATTGAAAGTCAGCACTGAGCTTTAATCTCGTTAAAGAACAAAGCCATGTAATGTAATTATGGATTTGGACCTCAAACTGAACATATCCAAACAGTTACAAAATCAGTCCACTATCACCTAAAGAATATATCAAGGATCAGAGCACTTATGTCTCAACAAGATTTGTAAAAACTTGACCATGCATTTATCAAGCATTTATCCTCAGTCGACTCGACTACTGTGGTGTTTTACATGTTTCTGTGAGAAGTCATTTAGAAAGCTACAGCTGATCCAGAACGCTGCAGCTCGAGTTTCACTAGCACCAGGAAAGTCACTCCAGTTCTAAAACTATATCGCAAATTTATTAAATTTTTAGTTTATTTTTTTAAGTATTTCCATCAATGTTCTTAACGATTTGTATTGCTTTATGTTTATGCTTCACATAAAACCAAAATATGAAAAAATAAAATGGCCTTGCCTGGTGTTCTTGTGAATTTACCTGAGGTTTTCCCTGGTGCATGTGCATCACAGAAGGGACTCCTGTGTAAGGGTGATAAACCTCTCTAACCAGCCGGAGCCTCCACCCACCGTTTCCCTTACGCTGACGGAGTGAGAACAGACGAGAGGGGTTTTCTCTCTCAGCCTCACTTCCTCTCCCAATGTAAAGAGTGTGCGTCTGTACCGGACTGACAGTTTGCTGTTCTCTTTTCTCTCTTTGGAAAAGTTTCACACAGCACCACAGTATGTGCACAAATGTGACAATATATTGTGATCAACATTTGATAATTAGACAACTATGAGTTCGTACTCCAGTTCAGTGGCTCTCACATAATTCCTGAGACTCCTGAAACGATACCAAGGTTGCAGCCTAAAGGCCGACATAAAGGCATTAGGTCATAATCCAAAGTATTTATATTTATTGTGGAGCAGTGGACTTCCTCCAATGACATAACCCACGACCTCCTCACTTCTCTGTTGGTTCGGCGCTTAAAAAAAAAAGGGGTTTCCTGTTGATGAAACATGCTCTGATGTGCGTTTGTGTAGGTGGCCTTCATGCCGTGAAAACATTTAGGTTGTCGATACCGCATCTTATCCGAGTGCCATCTATGACACGATGCGGCTCCACTGATTCAGAATGAAAATGGGAAGTGGCGTCTTCCTGTTGGGTGCACTAGAGCGGCTTTACGTTCGCACCTATAGGGTCCCACGCAGGCGTGGCCTGACGACACTCTCGTATCACGTAGTGGCGACTGCCGGTGGAAAGGAATGTGTCATTACTCACTCGCGCCAGTTTCTGCAGATTTCCAAGTGGTTTTCCTGTGTCCTCAGGGATGAGTATAAAACGGGTGAGCCGCACAACTGTCTGCATTTACAGTAAATCTCGTCTCGAAAAAGCCTCCCTTCGGTGATCTCGTTTCCCTCGGTTGAGAAAGAGTGAATATGAAGCTGGTTGTTTTCTGCTTCCTCGCAGCCTGGTGCGGCTCTTTGGTCGGCGCGTCGACCTCTCGGCCCACCACTCGGCCCCCCATGTTCAGGAGGAAGCTGGAAGAGGTCCTGGGACATCTGCATCGTGTGAAAGAGAGCCAGCAGGTAGCTTCTTCTACACTCATTTTAGAAAATGTTTCATACTCCTGCATGTTCTCGTGACTAAGTACAAGTTTTTTTTTCGGTTTGCTTCTCACAGCACAATGAGAAGACGCTGAATATTCCGCCGCAGTCTTTCAAGGTAAGACAACTTTTACTAGAATGTTGACACCATGGTCACTGACACCTAATATTTGGGTTTGCTTAGTCATCGTTGATATTCTCCCACCTACTGAAGATGCTAACTGTCATGTGCCCGCCATTGTGGGAGTAGATCACACAGTGTGAGAAAAGAAAGGTGTTGGGTTTAGATTATATATATATATATATATATATATAAATACATACAATTTAATTACTAGCTTACTACAATCCGCTTTAAAATAAAACAAGGAAGTTCATCTTGCAAATTGATCATTATTTTAATGCATTCATTTTTGTTTCTCATTACGAATCATGTGCCAGTTTATCTTGAACAAATACATTTGAAAATGAAATTTATTTCAGACTGACTTATGTTTTCCATACAACGCATTTACACAAAAAGGTATAAAAAAAAGATAAAACGTTTTTTTTGTAATTGATAAGGAAAACATCAAAAGTACCAACGATTTTTCACCATTGTAATTGTATATATTTGCATAACGTATTAGGCCTGTGTTATTAAATGTTATATTTCACTAGTGCTATAGAGAATGCACAAACTAACCATTATGCACTTATTTTTTTTTAAAGCAAAATACTGTGCAGTCAATCAGATTAATTTAAAATATAATCACAAAACAAACTACATAAAGCCTAATTGCCTGAAAGGAAATGCATTGCTACTTCAGGTGCATAACTGCCCTCTTTCTGCGCCGGCTGTTGAGTGAGTCAAGTCGAGAGCCTGCAAGGCGCAACTTCTCACAGCTTGAACTGCGGTTGAGTAATCAAGCAAACAAAAGCATGACACTTCCTCGCCGACTCAAAACGTGCTCGGGCGTGCTAAAAAAAAAAAATGATTTGAGTCAACTTTTGGTCTAAAGTTATGGCTCAAACCGCAAAGGATGCCCGAGGGGACGTGAAGCCACCGCTGGGCACAACAAAGCTCAACATACTTAATGTTCAGGAAAAACGATCCCCACTCAACGGAGCGAAGATCACACTGGATTTTAATACTACAGAAGCTCCGTAGAAGGGGATTAGAGCTCAAACAGCAGTAAAGAAGCATCAAGTCAATTGAGGTGAACGCTGGGGTGCAGAACCAGCATCTGACCCGAGCTAGTTGGGTTCAGTCACACTCTGCTGCACAATCAGCTGGAAGAAATGTGTCATATTAACGACTCCTTCATTGAGATCTCTGCGCGGAAACTAAATAAATAACAGTCAAAGCACTTTTGGGAACAGAAACCTATCTCTGAAAAAGTGAAGTTTCATTTTTAAAGTAAAAGTGTTATGCATGTATCGGACTGGAAAGTCAACTGCTGCGATGATGTCATCACATGAAACCAGAAAGAACTGCTTTCTGGGAAATGTTTTTGAGAGCATTTTTCCCTCAAATGAACACACGTAGAACAGCACAATTTTTAAAACCAACAAATGTATAGATCGTTGGACGACAACCCAGTTTTCTTCAATATAACTTTTCTTAACTAATATATCAAACACAAAAGCAATTTCAACAGTCATAACAAGACCGTCATCTTCTTTTTTTGAGAAATTGTGGAAGATTTTGTATATTCCCCCTGCAACTTGATCACAAGTGCAAGTGTTTACAATGTTTCACATAAGCTGCGTCTAATCACGGATGACGCTCTCTTTGGTGTGAACAGGACCGCTGCTGTGTGTCAACGCTGAAATACTTCCTGGAAAATCTGGAAAAGCAATTCAACGCGTCGCAAGACAAACTTTACAGGAGCCTCAAGCAGCGCAAAACTGTAAGTCAACGGGAAGCATGCCCTGCACAAAGCCACATGTGGCTACGCAACAAGCTAATGACCCCGCTCTGATTCTTTTCTCAGGAGAGAGCTCTCTGCCCTTCAGGAGACATTCAGGTAACAGTCTATACATACATTTACTGGGTATTTCTGTGGCATAGAAACACATTCATATGGTCATGAGTTTGTTTATTGAACTTTGTGTTTGATCGTTTCCCCTTAAAGGCAAACTGCCAAACCTACAACTCGCATCCGGGCACGGTGCAGGTATTCTTCGAAAGACTCCAGTCTTTTATTGAAGAGGTAAATCCTTTTTTTCTTTTCTTATCCAACACATTCTGTTTGAACATAAATAGGGGTGGAGATCTGTAGCACTACATTAAAGTGTTAACGGTTTAACTATATGAAACAACGATTTATGAGAATATATTTTCCTTTTTTAGGGCATAACCAGACTGAGCATGAAGTGAGAGGAGGTGGAGATCTTCACGTGACCAAGGCTTGAATGACACTAGGCTGAAAAGATGCTAACCGTGCTATAGTCTCCTTAATAATTAACCTATTTATTATTTATTTTGATGGTGGTGTCAGACTCACTAAAGCTATGAAGATTGTATTCTCGGGGAAGCTCCTCTGCCGCCCCCCAGCGGACTTTGGCAGTTAAGATCCTTCCCCTCGTTTTCACTGAAAGTGAAAGTTGATTATGTTGTAGTTCTCAAAGAATATCTAAAGTATATTATTGCATTTCTATTATGTATGACTTATTTTATTTTAAAATAATTGTACCATTTGAAAATAAATAGATTACACTGAGTTTTGGTTTGCCTGGTTTATTATTAATTTCCTATTAGACGGTATTTTCTGAGTGGTCTTTTACGCTCCCATGACCATCATTCCCATTTTAGGTTTCAATATTTTAAAGAAACATTGCCCCCGGTCAAAAAATAAAAGGTTGATGTACTTCTGGGTTCTTTCGGCACCATGGAAACAGGAGCGCACGCCCCCGTGGGAAAGACCAGCTTTGTGGACCAATTTCCTCTTGAGATTGGCCATAGATATGACGCCATTAAAACATCAGGTTTTCCAAACACTCAACTGAGAGACGTACAAAGCCCCTACTCCTGCCGCTGAGAGGAGGGACCTCCCCTCCCTCTGGTGGATCTGTGGAACCGCTTCGTGGGCCTCTTTGCACGGCTTCGTGCAGCGTGATGCTGAACCGCACCTAAAGAGGGTGTACGGACACTTAACGTCACCTCAAACCATCAAGCACTAGTTGTGTGTTTAACTGCTGGGGGGCGTCTACCACTACCGCAAGAAGACACTGACACACGCAGCTGTATGCGCAACAACAAAGCAATCCGAACAACTCTGAAACCTCTCACAATGACAGGTGCAAACACGCGAGCAGGTGTCCTCACAACAAAACACCTCGCGGCGGACTTCCCAGTTGTAAGAGGGGCATTCCAGCTGCACGGGCAAACACACTTCAGAGAGATGTATTTCACACCTGTGAGAGAAATCTCAACACAGCAGCCTGTTGAGTGTTTTTATCAGCATCGCGTAAAGAGTGTAAGAAAATGCAGAGGAGCCAGACGATACGTATAAACCCATAATGGAATATTAAAATAGATTCATGTGAAAAGAGTCTGTGGGAGCGATGATATAGTTTATGTAAAAAGGTCCCAGCACAGACCCCTGTGGTACCCCTCATTTATCCTGACGCAACGTCAGGACGCAACCTCATTCCTACATATATAAGGTTATAATTTTGCATTTTTGGACAAATGGCTGACAGCAGCAATGCATTAATAGAGAAAAAACGTCCATTAGCACTGATTGAGAGAGACAAGCATTGATGGATTCTAATTTGAGTTGATCTATCTAAGGGTTTTGGGTCTTTATTGATAGGCTAGTTAATACACATATATGTCAATTACATTTTGTCCTGTTAGTAGTAGTCAGTAATAATAATAATACATTTGAATTATAACGCACTCTTCACCATCACAAACCAAGAGTGCGCCAGATGGTAAAATAGCTCAAAATAAAGTAAAAGGGGGGGGGGGGGGGGGGTTTGGGGAGTGAGTAGTTCTTGCAGGTAAGCAAGGCAAGGCAATTTTATTTGTATAGCACTTTTCATACACAAGGCAGACTCAAAGTGCTTCACATTATAACATTTTATACAATAAAGTGAAATAAAATGCAGGAATTAAAAGACAATTAAAAACAGCAAATAAAATTATAAATTAAAATCTTATTTAAATTGTTTAATTAAAACCAGAGGTTAAAAGTGCAATGTAGGTCAAATTTAGCAGAAGGCGAAGCTGAACATAAAAGTTTTCAGTCTTGTTTTAAACGTGGTCAGAAGTCTTAAATCTTCAGGAAGTTTATTCCAGCGGTTTGTTGCGTAGTAACTAAATGATGCTTTCCCATGATTTGTATTTACTCTGGGAATCACTAACAGATTGGTGTCAGAAGATCTTAGTGATCTTGAAGGCTTATGTAGTGGAAGCATATCAGTGATATACTTTGGCCCTAAACCATGTAGTGATTTATATGTGAGCAGTAGGATTTTGAAATTAATTCTCTGACTTACTGGGAGCCAATGGAAGGATTTAAGAATTGGTGTAATGTGCTCACATTTTTTGGTCTTTGTTAGAACTCTAGCAGAAGCGTTCTGAACAAGCTGGAGCTGCCTGACAGTTTTTTTTTGGAAGACCTGCAAGGAGATAGGGAGGTGCATGTCCATTTATGAGTAGTACAATTTTGTAGTCAATCCGGAATGAGACAGGGAGCCAGTGCAGCGAGTGTAGGATGGGAGATCATATTTCCGGACTCCTGGGATCCTGGCAGCGCTGTTTTGGATGTATTGTAGTTACAGGATATTCTTGGCAGGAGAGGTTCTCGACATGAATATTTAAATCGGCAATGATGACAATATTAGTTATTAGTAGTATCTATTTAAATAGATGTACATATATCTTGCTGATGTTATGCTGCTCTGATTAAATGCTTTATGATAAAAGAATCAGTTTGAACGTAGAATCAGAGTTCAAGCAAAACACCCTGCAGGCATGAAGTATGATATATGAATTCACAAAAAAAAAACTGGCTTTGCTTTTAATCTGATTGGGTTAAAAAAAAAGTGAATCTGAGAAAAACACACTGCGTACCGGCCAAACCAAAGTCTCTTCTCTTTTTCCCCGCTGGTGTTTGTGCTACGTGGGGCTCTGGGCTTTCCACGGTGCCCACAACATTATGAGTAATGTGTGTACTGAACTGAACCCAGCAAACAGCGCTGCCAAAACAAGGCAGCCATGTGCTTCAGGTCGACCCCCCACCCCCCCCCCCCCGTCAGGACATGATGCTTTAGTAACAGCAATGATAATGCATGTTGTTTTTCTTGGGAGGATATGGGCTCACTCCACACTATCTAACCAACACACACAAAGAACCACTGTTTTGACACGTTGAGTGGACGGTCAGGCCGGGTTTGTGCAGGAGCTTCTCTTTGCTTTGTTTATCCTTGACTTAAAAGTACTAAAATCACAATTCAAAAATGTTACAAAACAAATGGTCTTGTCAAAGTACTTACTCAGCTGCTAAATTGGGTTTTTGGTTTATAAATTTAACTTTTTATATACAATTAAAAGTTCTATATATCCTTTGTGGTTTGAGCCATCATTTTAGACAACTTTTTTTTAGCATGCTCCAACATGTTGAGTCGGTGAGGAAGTGCCATGCTTTTGTTTTCTTGATTATGCAACCGTACTTCAAGCTGAGAGAAGATGCACCCTGCAAGCTCTCGAGAGGGCAGTTATGCATCTAAACGGGCATTCATCCCACGAGGCTGTGCTGAAGTAAAAAAGATTATATATGTGTATATATATATATATATATATATAATGTATGGAATATGAAGGCAATATAGGGTCCAACCCTTTAACTAGTAAGGTGTACCTAATAAAGCGACTGGTGAGTATATGGGTCTACATAGACAGACATATCTGTATATCAACATATATAGATAGAAATCAAATTAAAGCAGGTTGATGAAATCCAGCGTTCTGATTGGTTGAGAGTGGGTCATGGAGGATGCATTATTCAGCGATAATGTACAGTTGCTGTTCACATTGACCCGAGCGTTCCGTATCACTGACATGGAAATCCCACATCCAACGATCGGTTTGGGGCAATGCGAGCTTTTGCAACTGGACAATTAAGGTGGACGTCATGAGCGTTGTGAATGAATGAGATGGTGCGAGATCTGGCAAGGAGACTATTTTTCTCTATGCTACTGAACGTTTGGTGGCAAATACTATTTTGTGTGGAGAGGCAGCGATTTACTTACCATTTATGATTTCTTTGGTGACTGTATTATAAAAGTTAGGCTGCGCGTCTGGCTTAACAACACATTATTGTACATCCTCTCGTACCTTATTGCTTAAATAGGTCACACCCAATATTCTGAGGTATAATTTTAAAAATTCTTTTACTCTGAAAAAAGGGAGAAAGTGCTGAAGTGAGAGTTGAAAAAAGGGGGGGGGGGGGGGATGTCAAATGTAAAACCCCTTTGACTAAAACAAAGAACAATGACCCCTCCTCTTCAAATCACACAAGCTTGTAGGAAACAGAACAAATATAATGAAAGTTGGGATGCATTTTTGATCAGAAGTTGGTTCTGACGTGGCCTGTGGTCACCAAACCTCCAGCAGCTTCCCTGACATCACTACTGAGACTTATTTCCTTTTGTATTCATTCACTGTCATTCATACGACGTAGCTGACTCAGTCAGTGGAAGAGCCAAAACCATTTTTAATGAGGCGTATTTGATCCGCTACGTACACTGAACCACCATTGAACGGATCCACCCGGCCTTCAGCTCGTTGAAAGCTTCCGGAATGACGCTCCACTAGTTTCATCCAAGTAAGATACAATATTCAATGTTCCATCATGCATTTAAAATTTGGAAACAATTTTTGCAGCCCTTGCAATCTGTTGTCATTTATGAGAGCCAATAAAAACGGACGTAAAAGGTCAAAGTGGCCAGGTTGACGTTCTGTTTGATTCTAATTACTTAATTAGGTAACAAAAAAAAACTTATATATATATTCCACCTTAAAAGTTGCTGTTTGCCTTCGAGCGGCACTGTGAGTTAAAATATGTTTTCTTGGTCTTTAGCTAACTGAGTAGACCGGTATCTCCACATGGAGGCGTGGGCGAGGGTTTCCCTGTTGGGCATGGAAACAGCAGGGATGCCCCCGCGGAGCGACTTATTCCATGGATAGAAATTCCCCCGCCTTATCAAAGGGTTGGACCCTATTTCGCCCGGGGCAACAAGCAGCGGTTTGGCTCCTGCGCTCTCTGGGATGGTTGTGGGGGATCCCCACGTGGTCAGAGGTGGAGGAGAAACCATTCATTCCTTCATTCCTTCTCTCTTTTCTGACATGCTCAACGCTTTTACCTAGTGGGATGCACAAGCGTGCAAAACAATTATGGTAATTCATACAACATTTGTTACTGATTTGTGCTATACGAAACACAGTAACTTTTTGTTTTTTTACTTCTACTAGTTGTTTCACTTTCAGCAGCCCGATCATTTTGTGATGCAACTCCTCGAACCCTCACCCAAAAGTGTAAAAAGACACGCATGTCCCTGATGAGGTGTGTGGCTCTGCAAGTGGTTTCTCGCCAAGGAACCCAAAGCAATGCTCGATAAAAACAAATCTCTTCAATAAAGACAAACATTTTACTACAAATGCACAACACCCTTTGATGTACGTATCTCCATTTGAAAAGTAAATGATGTCGTCATCAGCAGCCACCCACAGAGAGGTCGTTCCCACCTAGCCTTTCTCTCTCTTTGGGGTTTCACAATGCAGTTGAAAATAGACTATGATTAATAGGAAAAAATAAGCCATACCATAAAAAAAAAAAACACCCTTCACCGGCCTACTCGTTTTCTAATCTGCTGTTGGCTATAAATTAGGGAGCGGCATCAGAGCAAATCAGAGGACACCACAAGCCACCGGTGAACAGACTTAAAACTTTTTCTTGCATCAGCAATCGATATGGAGCACAGTCTGAGAACGGCCCTCTGGGTATTTTGCCTCTTTGGCTTTCTTCAAGCAACACCTCCCTGCTACGGACAGGGCGACCTGGGCTTCTGCTTTCTACAACAACACGTCAAATGTGTAAGTCGTTACTTTTTATCTCCACTTTTTTTTTAACTGACCCGGAACATTTGTTCCAGTTTAATGGAAGTCAACGGTAACGGTCTTTTTCTCCAATTCGTTGTAGGTGAATGTGACGTTCACTTATCCAATCAACGTGCAGGTAAGAGATCACAGCAGCTCGACACGTTACCTCACAATAAATCGTGTGTGGATTTCCTCACTGGACAAAGTGTGACCCGATGGGCCGCGTCGTTCTCCTCAGGCGAAATGCAGTCGTGACGCGCTGCAAGTCTTCGTGCAGGGACTGAATAACGCCACAACCGACTGTCAAGATGACCAAGAGATAATTCCGGACACTCTGGAGTCCCTGGCCTGGAAGTTCCCCACCGTGAGTATTGACTTCAGACCGTTCGGATCGAAAAAGGCACGACAGCGAAACTAAAACTGGCCTCTTCTCCCCAGACCGACTCCACAAACTGCAAACTGCAAACCAAGGAGTCACAGTTTGAGGACTTTGTGAAAGACCTCGAAAGACTTGTGCAACTGATCAACGCCTCCGGCGACAAGTGAGCCAGCTGATGCCCCCTCTACTTCAGCTGCTATTATTTATATTTACACACTGCACTAAAATTCAATTAGCCTTTAGGCGGCAGTTTTGAAGCACTGCAAAAAGTTCTCCAGTTATTTATATATTTATTATTCAACTGATGTACTACATGTGTGTGCACGATAAGTAAAAATGAACTAATAAATTGTGAGCAATTACAACAGTGAGTTGTGTTTTTTTTTTTCTTCATCATCATCATCATCATCATCATCAGGTACTACTGCATTCATTTCTTAAAGTTAAAGAATTCCAGGTTCCTTCAAGCTGCCCCACACACACACATTTACAACCAACACGTATAAAGCAAATATCACAAAGTGACAATAAACCTACGGTTTGTGCCACAAGGCTGCGTCCTTTCACCCTCCATATCAGTCACTATGTGAGCGATCTCAGCAGTGAAGAAATCCCTTGGTTGGCTTTTTAACTCATCATGGGACATGTAGACGTCTATCTGACAAAGCGTAGAGAAGGAAGGAAACTAAAGCGACAGCTGCCCTCTGAAGTTTCCTTAATGAGTCCATTTGTAAAGGCCGGCGCATTCTTCTGCGTCTGCGTCAACGCACTCGTTTCAATTCATGGTTCTGCGTGTGTTGCAGAGCAATTCACCGCCAGAACAACAGGCGGAGTGACGTGTTTTGTTGAAGACGACCTAGAGAATCACGTCGATTTATTTATTTATCATAGACTTTATTCCCCCGTGCATCGCCACTGCTGCTTTTCATCGCGGACACATTTGTCCCGTATTTTCCTCCACAACTTTGTGCACCTCTCGACCATTTCTTCCGACAAAAGTTCTTAAATCTTATCCGTTTCTCTCGTAAACATTCTTCGTTTTAATAATGTCGGTATCGGGCTACGAAAGCGGAAATGTGAGACTCCGTAAAGGACGTAGTTAGCGGACCAATCGCAGCCTGGTCGCTGCGGGAGGCTTGCGTTGCTTGCTGACGTCTCGACACACGCGAGGACGCAAAGAGGTGTGAAAAGCGACGCAAGGGACACGCAAGGGGGTCTTGCGTCTGCGTCGCTCTGAAAAGCCTGATTTATGCTTCTGTGTTAACGCTGTGAGCGACGCCATCAGGAACCTGATGCATCTGATGTTACTGTTCTGCACACACGCACCCATTTGAATCACACAAACACAACATGCAAACAAAGAGGTGCACGTTTAACCGCACCGGCATTTACTGTATAGCTTTTGCAAATTCATTTTACATGTCATAGCTAAATAAATCTGGTGTAGAAAGAAGTTCACTAATTTATGAGTGTCATTGTTAAAATTCCCCTAGAGGCACTGAAGGTTTTACACACCTCATCGTCAGAGGTGATGAAGGCAAAATGATGAGCGCATACGTCAGGAGACGTGCAACAGTCTTTCAAGTTTGAGGATATTGTATGCATGCGCACACATTAATAGAAGTGTTAGTAGAACCATCTAATAGTGTCTCTGAGAGGTAATATTGGTCAGTGCCGATTTCCTCAGAGAC